AGGTGGGAAAATCGCGGAGAGCATGATGTTTATGCCGTACACGCTGTGTATGCGCGCAATCGCGTAAATTTGGCAGGTCCCCACAAGACACACCGAGCCATCGCGGAAATTTGTTTGCTCAACTGATAATCCGTATCTTCTTCAAAATTCAACACAAAATATGAGTGAAAAGAAGTGCTACAAAACTTTGTAGGATTGTTTTAAAATAGCAGTATTTTCTAAAATGGATTATGTGATTGAAAATGAAAGCATTACTGCACTTAATACTGAAGAATAAAGATTGTCATTCTGGGTAGGACACGGAAAGACGCTGAATGAATGCGACACATTGGTGGGCATTTTCAGAATGATACAGGTGGAAGGACTAAACCACAAAAGGCAGTTTAACTAGTGAGATGATAACGACTGATGAGTTCATTCAAAAGTTAGAGACGAGTATATCCTTTAAGTCAATCAAGTTATAGGGTAGACGGCTCGAAAGAATTTACTTAATGGAAGGATACGCCTAATCTTTAGGCGTTTGTGTTGGTTTTAACCTCCCAGTCTTCCATAAATAGTGCAATATGATGTTTCGTCCTCTGTTCACGACGCCAAATCCTCCATTTTTTAGGGAATAGTTGATGATGAAATGGGAATTCCTTCTGCGACAGGTGGATTAGTGTGGACCGACTAAGTAGCGGTAAATGTTTTGGAACCACCCAAACATTCCATCATCGTCCTGCGGCTCATACCTCTATCCATTTCATAAAAATAGGAACTACTACTTCTGCCTTGTAGATAAACCCCTTCATTGGAGCCTTTCACGATGCAGTTCTGCTGTACACCCTGGCTTTAAAGGACACCATGGACAGCGGAGGAAGCATCTCCAACGGCACGATGCTCACCTACTACATGCGGAATCGCACTTTTCAGGGTTAGTGCTAGAAATGTGGTTTCTCCCTGCTGTCTTTTGGGCAAATCCTCGACTGAGCTGTATTTCTCATATAGAAGAAAAAAATTACTGGTCCAGTGAACAAATAAATCTGCTCCGAATTGGAAACCCGACGTATCCCCAACCTGTTCTCACATGCAAAGGATAAAATGTTGGCGCTAGTGAATTGGATTTCTGTTGTTAAGAGTTACTTAAGTGCTCATCTCAGCGTACACTGTTTAAAGGTCTATGACCAGAGAGTGGTCTCTCAACCGCTATGGTAATGTATTTTTAACAATTTATCAAGAATCAGCATCTCCGCTTATTTTTAACCCATTTCAAAAATAAGGAGGTTTTTTCAAATCTCGTTTATATACTCTTGTGCTAATGCGGCAGATGCAAAAGCAGACAAATCCATTTCAGGTTCCAAAAACGGTGTTTTACTGAATGGGTTATCTAAAGTTGACTCCAAACATTCTTGACTAAGTGGAATTCACGCAATTTTTCGACCTGGTGGAACACTGCGGGATTTCGTGATCTGTTTAAACTGACATCCTTTCTGTTGGAGCTTTCGTCCAACTCTACCATCCCGTTGGTCAGTTTTCGATATTCATAATGCAGTTTTGCTGTTTTAGGGATTGCTGGGAACGTGAGTGTCGACATAAACGGTGACAGAAATGCCGACTATTCGCTTCTTGATATGAACCCCAAAACGGGCGTTTTTGAGGTAAGATTTAGCCCTTCCACTAGTAGCGTTCTGTGTGATTCCCGAAGGCAGGGCTTATTCGTCTGGAAGCAGGTCTATTATTAGCTTAGGGAAGAATTGGGGGCTAGTAACATTAGCTTTACTTAACCAGCATAGCAGCAGGATCTCGGGAAACTAAGAAGTTTACTTGGTCATATTTATAATTTACGAAATATCACTCTTACTACATGTTATAGGATGTAGAACAACAAATAATGGGGTAGAAACACAGGCGACTTGACACATGTAATTCGAAGCCTATGTGGAGGCCATACTATCAATGTGCCGCAATTTAACTTTCCAGGTGGTTGGAAACTACTTCGGTAACGCAAAGAAGTACGCACCCGTCCACACGAAGACTATCGATTGGGCAAACGAAGAGAACGCGCCTCCTCCTGACACTCCTCCCTGCGGGTTCGACGGAACACGCTGCAGCAATACAGTGAGTTAATTCATTCTCCCTCTTGCCGTCCATCTGCCTGTCTCTGTTTAAATACAGAATTGTCTAGTGGGCATACGGAAAGAGGCACTGAATTTTCATGCTGTGATTTCTCTTTTGTGTGTTCTTTTGGCTCCACCAGATATTCTTCGAATCAGCATCGGGGTGACCGTGACTCTCGTCATTTTCGTTCTCGGTACCATCATTGGTGGTGTTTTCATGTACAGGTGAGTCAGAGCTTACTTACAGAAATGTTGGAGAATGTCAAATATTAATAGCAGACTATAGATTTTCTGTGGGAAACAAAATCACGTTTTGAAATGTAAGCTCACCAATACTTGCTTTCATCACTTAGAGCCTTTTGAAGGTGGAAGGAATGGTTAAAAGTAACGGGGTGATAGTCTCAGAATAACTGACTAGGTAGTCACCCCATTCTGCTGTGAGATAACGCACTAAAGTATACATGAAGTGCATTACGAGATTTCAAAGGGATCTAATGATTCCTAGACAAATTTTTCCATAATACAATGAAGTTATTATCAAAAACACACTACTCCTTGGTGAATTCTAAAGCTAGCTTTTCAACTAAGTATCTTGAATGAATGTACGGTAAAGTGGTGCCATACTTGTATCTTGTGGTAGTCTTTGTCCTCTTTTAATTTTTCACGTGGAAGATTAGAACAAGGCTCTTAACGCTCTTCTGATGCATTTGGGTTTTGCTCCAGACATATCAAAACTACTGTCTGGCATTTGTAAATCACATTCAGGCGATGGGAGAATCCGTTATTGCGATCAGAGCATGAAATAGCTCATCAATTCGCAGAAATTGGAATAAGCATTAAACAACTAAGGATGCGGTTTCAAGTGTTAAATTTGCGGCGATCGCTTGCAACTTGACAAAATTCTATTCGGTCTAAGCTTAATTGATGGAATCAAAGCGGTAACAAAATAACCTAGAAGGAAAAAGCCATATTCCGATCTAAATTTTGTGCGTTACAACCTCAAAACGGAAAAGATTGCGAAAGCATCACACCTCACCCTCCTGCTTTGGGCTAACATTTCAAATCAAGGTTCGATCATGGATATCTTACGGAACACATTGGAATTTCTGCAAACCCATAGGGTTGCCGAAAACCAGAAATTTCTTTTCATGTTTTTAACGAATAGTGCAAGCTTCAAGTCGTCGGTAAATGTTAGAAGTATTTGTCAAACTGCGATCATTTCACTTTGTCTCAATAGTTCAATAGCGAGTTCGTCTCTGATTCAAATTGGAACGGGAATGAAGGAATACACTCAGCCATAGGTGCATGAGTTCTCGATTGGTATCATTTTTTTGCGTCCTTTTGAAATGTCTAATTCAAGGACTACCCAAGATAAATCTTCATCAGATTCTACAAAACACTAATCATTGACAAGAAAGCAGACAGCCTTCTTTCGGAACACGGAATTATGTCATTTGTGAAGTGCTTCTCATGATCGTAGGCATTCTTCACAAATTAGTTAACTGTTCTAGAGAAGGGCGTCTTTTGTCTACTTGATAATTCCAGTGTCGATCTATCCTTGTGGCTACAAAATTTTGCAGCTTCTGGTCAGCCTTTTCGAAATGTTTATCGAAGCGGAGCAATAAAACATCTCTAGTTAACCTGCCTCATCAGGTGGTATCCGTTTCTAGTTATGCACTGGCACATTTTTGAGGCGACAAGTGCCTTTAGGCAGAGTTTAAGGAGACGATGCTTCTATACCCGAGGCACAGATTTTGCGTTCACTACCAGTAAATAGCAATAATGATGTGTTAGCTGGTTTTTAAAAACCCAAAGCTCCGCAAATCCTCTTTTTCTGCAGAATCCCTCATTCAAAAGGGAAACGCGACTCTTATTTGGGGTTATGCTCTGTTTCTTGTTATTTAATCGGTTTGTACGCAAAATGTCTTTTTCCACTCGTAGGAGATTTGTTTAATACGAAAGTGGGTGATTCCCACAACTTTGCCTTTCCCACTTCCTTCTCAGGTACCAAACATCAATAGGTTTTGAAAGTAACAAAGCACTAAGAAATTTGGTTGTAAATTTAGGCTCTCTGGAATATTCTTTGCGTTATTGCATTGCGAAACACGTAAGACCCAGAAGCAGAACCACTTTAACACTGGGGTAATAAGGCTTCAGCGAAACCAAAACCACTGTTGAAAGTGGAACACTTTTGGGCCAGTAAGAGAACTCGACCATCGTAACAATTACCTCAGTTCCATAATTTCTAGTCAATTTAAAAATGTCTTATTTGCTGAAGGATCCATCTGATTATTTTGTCTTGTCAACTAATTTGCGCCTTTCTCAAGGCTCTGCTCAAAACCTTAATAAACCTTGCGTTAATTTGAAGAATGTCCTGTTTACTAAATGTGTGTATGGATCAGCTTCTTTCTGAAAACAAAAATAGTCCGCCTGCATTTACTTTTTTTCCTAAATAGGGCGAAGTTAGTTCTCTATCGGCACTTAATATACTAAGCTTGATCTCCTGACTTTGAGGTAAAAAGATACATTTTCTAGAACTGAATCCCTTTCTCACCTGAAACTACAGACGAGCTCGTTTCAAGGCGGAACTGCGTGCCATGAACTGGATCATTCCCTGGGAAGCTTTAGACCCTTCCAGCAACCGAACCCGTCATCATCGCCGAAACTCTATCGGCTACGTCAATCAGAAATCCGCTGCCGTTAATCGTGGCAACGCCGTCGCTGCCTCTGGTGTCACTGTAGAAACCAACGCTGCACCTGCCACCCCTAATTCTGGAGACAAGGCTGTGGTGTTCGAGGTGGACACGCCGTCAGCCACCTCGCCAGAACGACAATTTCTTCTTGCAGCGGATGAAGAAGGAGAGCTGGATCTGGACATTGAAAAGGGTCCTGTCGAGGACAACGCATCCATTGTCGCCGATGCCACCTCCCACCTTCCTCACCCACCCTCAACCCAAAGCTCCAAAGTAACTTTCGGTTCCCCCACTACGCTGCAATTGAAGCAGCAACAGCAGCAACAGAAGAAGAGATCCTCCCATAGTGGTGGAATGCGCGCCATATTCAAGGTGAGCAGCGCGGAGTCGCATTCAACACCGCCGACTCCACAAGCGATGGAGGACTCATGGGCTGGTGGCAATAGTGGTGGGGGGATGAGCAACTGGTGGCGTCGACAGCAGCGCTGGTCGAGAAAGAGCGAGGTGCTCAGTCAGGAGGACTCAAATTTGGGTGCTTCTAGCATTGGCGGCGGAGGTGTTGGGTGGATGACGTGGTTGGGCGGAAGTGGAGTAGCCACTCACAAGAAGAGTGTTCACGACTTCCCGCCGATGAGTGAGAAACGACGGCGGAAGGTTAGCTCGAAACGTGTGCCGCACTCAAAACCGAGGCGGAAGAAGTCGTCATTTGCCTGGGATGGTGGATTCATGAATAACAAGTCCACGGTAGGAGCCTGATGGCATGTCATTATCCTACTTTTATGGATCTCAAAGGCGCACACTTGATTCGATTAAAAATTCCTTTGCTTTAAAGGCGCTTTTCTAAAACTGATGCTGTAACCTTTTATGAAGCAGCGTTATTGTCTAGAGATAGCCGTAATCACTTTGGATTAGAAATATTTTCTGTTCAGTTTTATTCTATCCTTAAATGAGAAATTTTTGATCTAAACGTGGGACTTTATGGACTTAGCAGTAAGGTGTCCTTGCTTATGTAGTCTTCAGTTAGGATTACCCGCACATCTTGAGCCGAAAGAAACATTTCAGTCTCTTTTTAAAGCCAAAAACTTATTCTCGAACCCATTTCCCATGTCCATTGTGTAAAGATGGAGCTGCGTCATGGACGCCGTTCAAGTGCAAATTCGTTCAAGCTGTTTGATGCTAAAAGAAAATCAAGCTACATTTTCTTTGTATGGACTTGATTTCAAAGCGAACTCTTGAGCTCTGATTCTCTATCTTTATATCAGCAAATAAAAACATGGAAAGAAGGTATTGGAATTATGAAGCCTGGCTATAATTGGACACCTTTGCGACTCGGGAGGGAGTTAATTTGGGTTATTTTAAAAGTTACGAATTCTTGGTCCCATCTGGAACTTTATGCGCAAAATTAAAGTTGATTTACCAAATTACTCTTCCACTGCTGTTAATTTTTAAAATCTTAGATACATAGATATGGGCGAATTGGTGACACCTAAAGGTATCCTTGAAAATTGCTCCGTACAGCTTTGTTCAAACATTGTTGTCAAGTAAACAACCGAAATTGCATCATGAACCAATAGAGTGACAGAGGCTGCGTTAAGGCTTTTTCACGGTCTTATTCGTTTTAGGACTACCCCGGCGCAGACTTTGGAATTAGTGTTGTGGGAACCGTTTTTCTGGTTTTTTTATTGTAGCCCTAACCATTGACATCAAGTGAATCCATTACTTCAAAATTTCGAGGTTTGCAAGGCACTCGCAACTAAGTGCCACAGATTCTTAACACCTGTGCATTCTTCATTATTAAACTATGATGTATCAAAGTTGTTCATATCTTTATCTTTATGAATGCACAGTTCTACTTTCTCATTGCTCCTTTTGCTTGTTTTTTAATCACTTCACTTTAAAATCAACCGTCTTCGAAATTCTTCATTTTCGACTGAAAGTGGCCTTTAGACTTAAACATTATTAATGCGACTTTGGCAGTAACAACAAGAAATTGGGAAATTGTAACCAATGGATTCTTTACTGTTTTATCAACCAATCAAATGAGACCAATATCTAAAAGGGGCGAATCACGATTGAGTGGGAACAGGTAATACTTCCGGCAAAAGTGTTTCAGATTCACAAACTCTAGGAGAATTTCAATCTCTATGGGCGTAATTGACCGAGTTTTCTAAACGAAGAACGATAGTTTGAAAATGCTTAAATCCTTTTCAACTGAATGCACACCCTGTTAAAAGCTCATAAAAATGGCCCTCCGGGTTATTTTTATCAAGTTTGCTTGCCCAAATGGTCATTTAGACGGTTAATGTATAGCGCTGACGAGGGAGTTTTTTACTGAAACCTTTTTTTTCTAGCGGTGAGAGACAGATTTACCGCGAAAACATCCTTTAGTTCTCCGAACTCTGAGCTTTCGTCTGATAAGTAGGGGAAAAGTTGCATTAAGCCTCATTTCTGTACAGGAATGAGAATACACATAACGATGTAGACGTCCTGTTTTGCAGACCAGTCGCAGTAGAAACAGGCAGTGTTGCAGTGAGTACTATGTTCTTGAACGAGTTTGCTAAACATCACAACACTGCTTTGGTATACGAGGGGCTCCTTACCCCCCCTCACAAATTCACTGCGAAAGAGGTGACCTCGTTGAGCAAGGCGGCCAGGTGGATATGAGAGAATGGTCGAAACTTTTCTCAGAGGATGAAGTTTTATGGTGCTAGAAAGATGTTGGGTCTCCTAGACGTCTAGCTGTCCTGGGCTCGTTGGTGCAAACAGTTCTCAAAGAATTACACGAGCAACTAATTTATGTGGGGGTAAAGAAGGTGCTGGCCTCCTTGAGCAAAAGGTACTGGTGGTCTACGATCACTACAGAAGTATTTGACGTCTGTCGAACTGCGTCACTTACAGTAGCTTTAAAAGGCCACGCCTCACAGCGATTGCACCACTCCATCCTATGCCCACAGGGTTTCTAGGAGGCGTAGGTACTTACATCATAGGTCCTATATCAACCATCAAAATAGGCAACCGGTATCGTTTTATTATGACAGACCACTTTAAAAAAGCGGCTGAGGCAGAACCCCTGTAGACATAAGACGATGAAACGATTGATTCAGTCCTCTTTATTTGCTGAATTTGTCAACAGAAAGTCCTGGAAACAGTGTACAGCGATCACGGTGCTACTTTCGAAAGTTGACTCCTTACTACACTATTTAAGACCTTTAGGATTTCCAAGACACACATGGCACCTGAACATTCGCAAGCTAATGGGTAGGTGAAGATAACGAATTGCGCTCTGACTGGGCTACTGGGGACTTTCACTGGGGACGCACAACTGGAAGACTGAGATTTAAGCCTAGGGTGAAGTCTCCTTGTGTACAGATTCACAGCCCATACATTAATCTACGTTTCACCGTTCAAGCTACCCAAAGATCTTGAAATGTGAGTACCAAGCAATATTTTTTTTCTAATCACGATTGTGCAGGGCTGTCTGTACATAAACGTAGTTTTTGTAGAGCCTTAAAACGCATGAAAAAAACGTCTGATGAATCCTTCGTTTCATCATTACAGGAGAGTATATTGCCAGCAAACATGAGCATTTTATAAATAGTATAGTCTGGACGTTACTACTTGCTATCAGGTCAGGAGTACTTGTGAAAACTGCATTTCCACTTCATTCCACGGCTGCATGCTATCCCGAGACACATTTGCTGGTTCATCGTGTGCACATACTACTTACCCTCCTTGAAAAAGTAACCTCGCCGTAAATACACTTCACCATTGGCGTGTTTTTTTGAATTGTTGTCTCCGGAAAACCTAGACGTGGCTTTTTTTGATTGCACGTGATCATCACTTAACAGCATATTCAGAGTGGAAGCGACATTATATTTCTGAGAATGACTTGGGAACAATTTCACTGATAGCTTCCCTAAAATTTACTTATTTTGCAGCAATAAAATTTATTAAAACCAAGGAATAGACATGTAGAAGGTATATCATGAGTTCAAAGTTCAAATCTCGGCTTCCGGTAGAATTACTTGCTTCGCGTTCGGAAGTATCCCTCGAAATTCCATCTTCGGTAAGCGTAACTCAATGACCGAGTAAATAAGCCTCAAAGACAATGATCACGAGTCTATTTTGATTTCTTAATGCACAGAAATAGAATTGGTGTTAAAAAACGTATAAACAGCAATAAGGAAGAAGTGAGGAAGGTTGGATCTTTGGATCAAGAAAGAATAGTTAATGAATGAGATATTACTATGTCGATTGTGCCTCTTAGATATTCTACTGATAAAAGAAGCTTCAATTCCCAACAGAAAAGTCCAATTGAAAAATTTAATATATGTATAAGTGATTCGTTAGTCAATAGATTGACCAAATTAAGCCACCCTCAACATTGCTTATCTCTTCCTTTTTTCAGCGTCGAAGTGAATCGATGGGCTCTCGCGACAGTCTTTCCTCAGTCGATACCATCTCGGAGTCGCAATTCGACCTCAACCAGAATAAGCAGGTGTTCAGCTCTACTACCGTCTACAAGGGCAACGTGGTTGCGCTTAAGAACCTTCCCTACCACCGGGTCGACCTCACTAACGAACTCCTAGCTGAAGTCAACCGTGTAAGGCACTTCCCCTCTCCTCTTTCCCCATTTACATCCACCTTTTTCCACTTTGAAGACAGGTGAAGAATCTCGCTCACCACTAGACGACAGCATTTTGATCGCTTTTAGAAGTATATGCCATCTTGATGAGTCTGAGCTTGGAATTTGCTTTCCTACTAGCTCTTCTGCCGGGAGAGTAAGTGGGAAAAATCTACTCGGTGACGTTTAGATCCGCTAGAAGCTTTACATGGGGAGCAGTTGAAGTTGAAGTTGACCCGTCTTAAAAGGAACCTACAGTAATTAAGTTTTTAATTTTTTTTTATTTTAAAGCGCTATGAACGTAGTGCCAGATCACTAAGGCAGACAGAGAGCCTTCATGATATTTGATTTCCAGTACTTTTTCTTGATATTTATGAACTTGCACAGTTTTTTAGGAGATCTGATTTTAGCACAAATTCTGCTTAAAATACTGCGTTACATCGATGCGGTCATAAGATTAAGTAAAAATCAGTAGAATCCGTACATGAAGTGTTGTGAAATGGCAAACTATGAACGTGAGTAAGTGTATTCCATTCAAATCCAATTTAACCAATGGAAAAGTTCCACGTAGCTATTTAAGCACGTTAGAAGTCTTGTAAAACGATGGAAACTAACAGACGCGACCAAAACAATGCAGTAAAAACCACTTTTTTAGATATTCCATACCGAGGTCTTGGATGTAAATCCACCACAACTCAAACACTTTATTGCTCTAAAGGAATAATAAATTTCATTCTTTTTCATTTCTATTTTATTTCATTTCCTTTTGATTAAATGCCCCAAGTTAGTGTATTTTCTGAGCTCAGGTAAGAAAATTTGGGTGTCACATATGTGCGACGCTGGTGTAGGCATGGTCGGTGTAAGCGATAATTTAAGCTTCACTTGGCAATATTTTGGTGGAAATTGCAGGTGAAGGACCTGAACTACGACCATATCTGTCACTTCGTAGGTGCGTGCATCGAACCGCAGCACCTCTGCCTTGTCTATGAGTACTGTCCCAAAGGCAGTCTCAAGGACGTCCTAGAGGATGAACAGATCAAGCTGGACTGGATGTTCAAGTTCTCCCTCATGCAGGATATCTGTCGGGTAGGTGTCAATTCAACAAGTGGTTACATTACTATCGCCCTCTTCATTAATTCATGCCATCCTCTCTCCTCCATAGGGTATGATCTACCTCCACCACAACCTGGGTCCGCACGGTAAACTGAAGAGTTCCAACTGCATGGTGGACTCCCGCTTCTCCCTCAAGATCACCGATTTCGATTTGCACCTTCTACGAGGACCACCTCCTCCACCTGATTACTCGCCCACCTACTACCGAAGTGCGTCAGTCTTCAAACCCCAGTGGATCCCTTCTTTGCTCGCTGAAATCAGGATTCTAGGCTTTTTCTCTTTCACGGCTTACTGAATTACAGGCATCACCAACGCTAGAAGCATTGTCACAAATCGTTTTTTTAAAGCCTTAGGTTTATTGCCTAGAGTATTTTTCACCAAGTCATATCCTTTCTTGATCCTTGGGCATTATTAAAATCACACCTTAACACAATCCATTTTCAACAAGATCAATTTTAAGAAGGATCAGTGTCATCAAAGCCGCGGTTTATGACGTCGAACCTAAAATGTGGACGTCTGTTCGCTGTCTACGATGCGTATTCTATTGACACACTGGTATCCTGAAAATCCTGTCACCTGAACAGCTAATCCACACTGACAGTGCAACCAAGGCTAAGGCTAAAATCTTCAAAAATTCCTCTAAACTGGTAAGCCTTCATTGTAGTTTGCTATCAATCATTGCTAGTGATTGGCGCCTTACCGAAGGGCAGTTAACTTGTCCCTTGGGATTGACATGCTAAGCGAAACCGCCTTGGGTAGTAATTTGCAACTTTGCCTCTGCCCTTTTTCATGGTCATGGAAATCCTGAAGGGAATTTTCGCGATTGTTTTTTCGGAATTCGCAGAGTACTTATGCATAAAAGAATGCCATTCCGCCTCGAAGCCACTCTCTGCTGCCGTCTTGGATTTTTGCTCACCGGAGTGATTGATCCACTTAGTTGCTCAATGAACGAGATCAAGATAATTTTTTCCGTATGAAAACTGAAAAGCCAATCAAATCCAATCTTTGGACCTAGACTTTCTCTATCCGGGACAGATTGGTCCTTGTGTTTTCCCCTGTCTTGTACACACCACTACAAGTGTCTACTTACATAGCGATCTCACTAAAACTTCTCACCGATTCCTGTCTTGTCGCTTCCCCATTTGGTTCGTGCGACGGAACACTATTTTTCCAGTTCCTATGTCTCATACTTTTTTTGGGAATACTAGGGGAATTGACCTCAAATTAATGACGCTCAGAGACATGGTTTTCATACTCCAAGGCAACTTTTTTGTACTTCTCTGTGGCTTTCTTAAAACGCAACTATTTGGAGAATCGTGAATGGTAGAGACTACTATAAATTAAGGAAACGGGATATTTTGTGATTTTTCAAGTGCTGCAGGAGGAGGGGGACCTCTCCTCTACCTTTTGAATTGACTTTGAAAGCACAATTCATTTTGGTAACTAATTTTAGGCTCTGGTTTTTCCTCAGATGGAACTTACGCTTATACGTCCTTATTTCCACAAAAACGTTACAAATTTAAAGGCGGTCGCCAATTCAAGCATGGTTTTGTAGTGACGATGATGTGCCTTTGGATAGCTGGAAGAAGCAATGAACCATAAAATAGTGACGCCTAAAGAGGTCCTGTTCTTTACTGTCACAGGTCAACTGTGGACGGCACCGGAGTTGCTACGAGCATACCCCAACCACGGTGAGTTTCGAGGCACCTGCAAAGGCGACGTCTACAGCTTCGCCATCGTTTGCCAGGAGATTATTTATCGCAAGGGTGTCTTCTACCGGCCCGATATCTCCGAACCCAAGGTCGTGCCCTACTTTTCCCTACGCGTTTCTTTCTCACTTGGTGCACTTGTGACTGAAGGAGTCATAAAAAGAGGATGTCAAGTCATCAAATTCGAATTGGTCGATTTCCTTAACTAATTATAGGTTAGAAATGGGATGCTCACTTAATATCAAGACATCTATGGGCAATTTAATACATTTTATCTAGCATCCCCCTTTCTTTCAACTTCTACGGGATATTGTCATTGATTGCAAATTTTACAATTTTTTGTGGAGTAAATACTCCTCTAAAAACCGGTCTTTCTATGTACGAGTTCAGTGATATGTTTATTAAGGCATTAACGAAATCGGATCATTGATACTAAAGCGTGCTTTTAGTTCCATAATCGCGCAGGAGAATTTTTTTGTAGGATTGTGGAAAAGCCGAGAATGACAGAGATTACTTTTGGAATTTCCTCAAAGTTTTGGGGTATTTGCGTTTTCTACGTAGTTCAGTTACTCAACGTCGTGAAGAAATGTTGGGCTTTTGAGCTAACCTCTCCTGTAGGCGGTCGGGAAACGGGGAAATTCGAGTGACCAAGAGTAAAATGTCCGATTTCTTTAAGTAGTCAAGCTTAAGGGCATGTCTATCCAACACCGATCACGCCTCATTAATGCGTGTTATCAAGTGACTGACTGTTGCTGCTATTACATTTTAAAGAGTAACGTTAGGTTATTTTGTAAATGGCGCGTATGAGGTGTCACCTGGAAATTTTTTGCACCTTATCCATTTCCTGCTTTTCTCGCATTATCTTGATGTTGTTATTGAATAGATCACCAATCGCAAGATAATTCACCGACGATGGTGATTTTGCCTGCCGATGTCCATACAAATCCAACAATTCATTCAATCCTTTTTCTTATGACCAGTAGAATACTGTTAAAATCCGTGAATTTGTGGTTCTAAATAATTGGGTCTTAAATGACTGATCTCCTCAGAAGATATTAGTTCTGACATTGGCCATTTTTCGCACAAACCCCTTACTATTTACATGGTGTCGGGAAAGTAGTGAATAGATCCAAAGTTACTACCTAGGGCAAGTATGGTTCCTTTATTAGTCGTTCCCCGATTTCTGTCATTTGGGGTCGGTTTCTGTGAAATCACTTATGTGATTTCTGAATTCGCCAATAGAAGATAGCAGCTCTAAAACAGCTTCACTTCTGGGAATTTGGGCACGTATTGCTTGCTTCACTCTAGATCGAGAGGAGAATTCCAATTCTTGAAAATCAGTAATGTGTAGCTTTCAGTCGGTGTAGGGATATCTTTCCAGCCTCAGGGTGCCCACGTGCAAATTTAAGGCTTTCATTCACTCCCATTCTTTGCGGTTGGTAAGGTCATCACTAGGAGACTGTGGAATTTCCTTTTAATTATATTGTTACAAGGCTTTGATAGCCTGGACGGTATTCATTCTCCTTTCCCTCTACCCTCATCATTGTAGGCTATCGTAGAGCTGGTGAAGTTGAGTCCGCCGTTTCGACCACTGCTGGAGGTGTCGCAGGAGGATGGGTGCACGGCGGACCTCGTGGGCCTGATCCGGAGCGCCTGGACCGAGGAACCCTCGTTTCGACCCGACTTTACCGCCATCAAGTTGTCCATGCGCAAATTCAACGAGTCAGTCACACTCCTTGCTCTATCCTCTCCTCGCCTTTACTTCCTCATAGCGTTGAATAATTTAGAAATTGGCCGATTGCACCAAAGATATTCTTTTGGATAGTTGTTTTCTAGGCTCCGTTTCGCAAAATCGTCCACTTCTCCTCTTTCACCTCGATTTGCAGGACATTTGTGAAGTCATGAATGAGTGACCTTATTTTACCAAATGCAAATTAGTCTATTTTCAGAAGTACAGTAACCTCTTGATTGCCCGTGCTGAAAGAGGTATGGAAAAACACGGACAACCAAAAAAATTGATATTCCGCTGCCGGTTTAATAAGCTTTGGGGGCTACGCGGTCAAGATAAAGTATCATGGCGACAAAGTGCCCTAATCACGACGGCAAATGAATACTTCAAAGGCTATAAGGCCAAATTCAGTGGTAAGATAATTAAAATCGTCAGTATTACCAAGGTGTTTTCTTCTCTTGCTGAGGTGAACGTCACTGGGTGCTAAGATTACGCTGTTGCACAGATGATCGCTAAAAAGTAAGGAAGTCAACGGAATACTTTAGATGTAATCACACGTAGGAGAATGTAAAAAGCAAGTAAAGGAATTGTCAAAGATTTCTTGTTGAATGTCCGCCCTCCAAGTTGACATGGTACAAGTGACTAGTGGAAACATTTTTTTGGTATTTGCGGGGTTTTTAACCCAAAGTGGAGGAAATTAAGTGTCATTTATGAATCTAATAACCTACTTTTTAATAATAGCACTAACCATAGCTGTTATAGGTGTATTTCATTGGAATACTCATAAAGGCAGTTTCTTCACCAAGGTTTGGACATCTCCGCGAACTGGAAGGTAACAGGAAGTTGTTGAGTAATACAGGGAGGAATGGAAATGACTTGCAACTCCGATGACAGGGAGCCTGACTCTTGAGAGTTTACTCTATCACCAGACAAGAAAGCGGGTGCATCCGATACCAAGCTATCCACTCTTCGTATTCACTAATTTAGTCGTTAATCCTTCTTCCCCACAATTCTCAGAGGACTAGTGAGGTCACACGTGATAGATATTGAGTCGTCCAGTCTTTGAGAGGGACATTTCTCTACCACCAACTCTTCCATGCACAAATTTGATAAATCGGTCTCTCCCTATTCTGAACTATCCTTGGAGCACTTTAGAGGTAGCAGGAAATCCCCCCCCCCCTACTGTTCTCATGGTACCTGAAGTTATAAATAGGCAATATTATTGCATTTTCCTAGTTAACAAAAAAGCTCGCAATGGAATTCCTCTCTAAAAGTAACCATTGTGTTCACAAATTCAGCTGTTTATCTACTTTTTTCCTCCCATCCGTTATTCTTTGAGTGGTGGAGAAATTGTGAATTGGGAGAATTGAGCTTTCAGTGATAAACTTTGCCAACGGTTATGCGTCGTCCTTGTTTGTTTACCGTAAAGTACAACCCAAAGGTGTGCAAGAATAACTTGCTCGGAGCTAGTCAGTGGGTCGGAAGAACGTCCTGTTCGTGCTCCCAGAGAACACACAAGGTCCCATATGTCAGACTACGAAAATTATGAGAAGGCTTTAGGATGTGATGGGGAGGAGGAAGTATCATCTCATCCACATATTTTTTTTCTGAATTCTAGGGGCAAAACGTCTTACAAAGATGGAATTCTCAAGTTATAGTCTCTTTGGGAGGTAATCGAAGACTGTGTTAGTTTTTCTTTTCAAGGGACTGACCATTTCAAGAAGCCTTTTGCGACTATTTAGTTTTGATTATGAAACAAACTCAATAGCCTATTTGGATACCTTAGGTGTCTTCTTCTTCTCCCTAGATTTGCCCATCATTTTCGGTGCACCAACTTTTGACTTGCGTATGATAACATCCTCAAGAAAATACCAAGTTTATGCTACTAGGATCCTTCCAAGTACACGATTCCCAGAGGAGAATGTTGATGGACTTTAAGTCGAGCATTCAAAGAATCACTTAGTGAGGACGATCATGTGCCAAAACAGTTTTTTCCCTTCTCTAGGTTTTGGCAATGGACACTCGCCAATGGGAGATTATTTGATTTTTTTGTTTTAGCCGCCTTATCCCTGGCGTACATTGTTGTAGCAATTTTGGAGTTGTCACTATGCTATTTATCAGTTGGTAGAGTCAATGAACAGGTTATGAATCCATTTAGAATAATTAGAGTTATGTATGACCTCCATAATTTTGAAGAGAAGCTACTATATTGTGCTCGCTGCACCTCTAAGTCAAAGAGGTAAGGGGAAGCTAGAAAGGCGCCAAATTTCCCTATTGATTGAATGAACCGGTGTTTTGAATCTTCTTGAGTATTTATCCACTTTGCAAAGTTTTTAACTCAACATCATAGTGTGAGAAATGTCGAGCATCTTTTTTACTGCTGTTACTCTGGCTCCCTCAACTAGGGGTGGAGATACGGACAATTTGTTGGATAATCTGCTCTCGCGTATGGAGCAGTACGCCAACAACTTGGAGGACCTCGTGGCTGAACGCACTGATCAATATCTCGTTGAGAAGAAGAAGGTGGAGGAACTCCTCTACTCCATTCTGCCAAAGTAAGTTTGTGCACGCAAATTTTAGTGTTGGCTATCAACCATGAGTACTTTTTAGCCACCACCAATCAAAGTTTTATTTCCAGCAGTTCATTATCAGTCGAATATGGTGACTAGCTTTAAATTGTTTTAGAATTTTAAAGTAGTGATATGACATTAAACATTATCACCTTAGTATCTGCTGCTAGTCGTGTGCATTTGGATGTCAATGTAACTTGAGCTGCTCTAGGCGTTGAATAAACTCTAAATTTGAGGCCAAAAATGGACTTTTGGCCAAACGTTCGATCCAGTGCTTAACCTTTTCCATATTTTTGAAAGTCGTCTAGGATTCCCATGAAATACCCCCCTATCTCGGTCGGTTTGAAGAAGTGCGTCTTCACAAAACTGTTTGATCAACTGAAGAGCAAAATAGGTATTACTGACGGACAGAAGGGCTGGGGGTTACTAGCATGGCCCTGAGGCCGTTCTGCCCAGCGAAAATGCCAAGGCGAAGCCTTTAGTTCCTGCGAAATTAAAACGAAGAGTTAAAATAATAATCCAAGTAATACATAGCCCCCTCTCCTTTTGAACTCCTCATAGTTAGCCGCCCGCGTCGACCATCCCAACACAATCGCGCCAGTCATCGAATTCGCATGCAACTGAGATGATATGTGACCGCAACATCATTGATGCTGCTTCTTGCCAACTTCACTGAATCTGAAGTTTGATCCTATTTGGGAACTGTGTTGAAGGGAAAAGAAATGTGCTGAATATCTCGCATGTTCACCGTTAGTCGTGGGGATACTGGACCAAAGGAAGAGTCATTTAATGGTTTTGTGGGGATAAGGTTTTGCATCTATTCCCCTTTGTCACTTTGTTTTCACTTCAGTGCTGCCCAGCCATACCTATCTGGGTTTCATCCAGCTAGTGGGGCGATGGAGGGGGCACCTCCACCTCCACGCAGGTACCGTAGACAGTTTCTTCACATATTCCTCCAGGTGGTTCAAGGCCAGTGTGACCTCATTTGTTTATAGTATTCCTGCAGAGCACGGGACTGGGGTAGTTGCTGAAGGTAGACGTCATTTACAACTCTCCTGTTTGGGCTCTTTACAGACCCTCCTATGCGCAGTACATAACCTTCTTCCGTCATGTTAAGATTTGGCATTGAGGGACGGAAACCAGAATAGTTGTTCTTTAGGATCGGATTTGCTTTCTACTGCACCAATATGACACCCTGAGGCATTCCTGAAGACAAAAGAATTCATAGTGCTAAGGAAGAGTGTGTATTACCTGCGTACAGGAGGACTGGTGTGGGGGCTACTGGCGTGGCCCATAGGCTATGCAGCTCAGCGGAAGTTCTATCCCACAGCCTTTATTTTTCAAGGAATTACACAAATCATCTAAGGTATTACACAATGGCTGCTCAATACATGAACTAATTATGCCTCAACCAATCTCCATGTAGTTATGTTGTATTATTTGTAGCCGTTTTAAGCGCGACATACCCTTGAATGTCAACGGCCAGAAGTTAAACAGGATTAACAATTCCAGGAGAGTTGTGAATTCGGTGTTTGGAAAAAGGATTTGTCCGAAGGAATTAACCAATCTTAAGTGGACTTGCTGGGATGATATCTTTGCTGTCCCAGATTTTGCGCTTATTTCGATTATCGCCAAAGGGGTTACTTTCACATAATTTTCAACCAATCATTCCTCAAAGTTCTGCCATAATATGGGGTCTTTTCGTATAGTTGCTTCAGACACGAACTAAATGACATAGATACAGCAATTAATAAGTACGCCGCACTAGCTTTTTGAGCGCCGGACATCGTTACTTTTCACTGATGACTCTGATTTATTCATGTCTGTAAGCAATGATGCATTAGCACTATTTTTCCTTGGTAGTAACGTGTTTATAGGGGATAGCTTTTAGTATTTGGATGAATTATGATTTCTCCAGATAAAGGACACCATTGCCCGACACGGTTTTCTTAAAGCTTACTGCCATTGTCGCTGAATTGGAAGTGAGGCGGTCTGATCGTTTTGCTATTTTCCTCTACAGATCAGTGGCCAGCCAGCTGATTCGAAAGCAACCAGTTGAAGCGGAGAGCTTTGAATCCGTCACCATATACTTCAGCGATATTGTCGAATTCACCTCTCTCTCGGCGGATTCAACTGCCATCCAGGTTTGTTCATGATTCCTTCTTTAATAATCTAGCCACATCACACAACATGATTTATCAGTGCATTTTCGGGCACTGTTCAGTTTTGAATTGAGTTTTTACCTTCTCTCAAGCTTTGCCTTCATCAACCCAGTTATTTTTATTTGACATTTCTGTGCACCGGATATCGAGAGATGATTTTAAAATATGCCACAGGTATATACGTCTGTCGGCTCCTCAAAACTTGCTTGCCCCAAAGGAGCTCATGCTCATTTCAACTTGAAAGTGTGACCCCACTGTGGAAAAGCATCGGGAATGTTTCAGGGCGCTATTGAGGTTATCAAGACTTCAGTGAGCATCGAAACCGTTTTTTTGAAGCCCCTTTGTGGTTACAATATCAGTAGGCTCATTTTGAGACTAAAAAGGGAAAACATTTAGAGCCACTTGATATAACGTCATGCTCGAAGACATTCAAATCCTGTGACTCCTCTTTGCCTCCCAGAAGACGTCATCCTACCTAGCTAATGGTTCCTTTTATTACTTACGTACATTAGATTGTTGCGCATGAAAGATAGCCTAGTAGGCCTATTGACTGTTACGAGGCTTCAAGTTGGCGTATTTTACAACCTTTATTCATTATTTTGACTCATAAAACATGGTTCTTTAAATCACCGCAAGAAACGACATCTAAAATTCGTTTTTGTGAAGTCTCTTCATAACTCGCTACTAACTTGATGACAGCAAACTCAAACGCAGTAACTGCAGTGGGATTTGGAGCCGAAGAAAAGGTTAAGGCAGGTTTATAATTTTGGCTAAGATAATATATTCATGGTGTCGCGAAATGGCCATGGGAAAGGTCCGACTTCTCTTTGATCCTTTCCACACCTGCATGAATTATCAGTACAGAGATCTTCAGCCCACCACCACAGTCCACCAATTATTACACAAATCCATGTAGTGGTGATTTTAGTTGAATATGTACTAGACATTATTATCATTGAGTGGCGTCGATTTGTACGTGAAATGCTTATGGAGCTTAGAGGTTAGTTGTCAGCTGCCTAGTGGCTGCCTCCAACCATCGGCCCCGCTTATTGTGTGTTCATCGGCCAATCACCGTTCGTTGATGTTTTGACTTGGTATCCTCAATAGTCAAAGGTGGTGCAAAACATCGTCCCAACTGCGTGCGTTCATCAACAACCAGGGTAATTACTCAACCATCGTTTTGCTTATTGAAGGAACAGTAGTATGCTTACCATTTCGTGGCATAGAAAATTTACAGTGGATGGTATCAGCTTTCTTCCACTTCCATAGTTTCACGTACAATTAAGAAATGAGGCACTCACGCTTGACAGTGCGGTATTGGTTCTTAGACTTGATGTCCAAAGAACTCAGACGTCCCACCTAACAACCAAATCGCTATAGGTTCGTCTTAGCATTTTATCAAGACGGCGTTTCCACTAGCGGTGTTCATTCACAACAACCAAAAATCATGACTCAAGAGTGGTGTATCCTCATTTGTAGAATATTTAGGTTGTACAACCAAGTGGTTATGTTTGAAAAATAAGGTACCAATTTCCTAATTTGGTGTTACTAACCTGACCACGGTATGACATAAGTGAAATACGACTTGGCTCTACCTCGTGAATCAACAGTTTGGTATCACTTGTTTTCAAAAATAAGATTGCAGCCGTTCATTTCCCTTCTCTCTGTGTGTGTGTGCAGGTGGTAGAGCTGTTGAATCAGTTGTACACTCTCTTCGACTCCATCATCGTGCGTTTCGACGTGTATAAGGTGGAGACGATTGGGGACGCCTATATGGTTGCCTCAGGCCTGCCTCAACGCAACGGCAACCAGCACGCCAAGGAGGTGGCCCGCATGGCTATCGAGTTCCTCAAGTCTATGTCCACCTTTATCATTCCTCATCGGCCCGACAGGGAGCTCAAGCTTCGCATTGGCATCCACTCCGGTATGTATGCTCCACCCAACACCCATTTCTCACTTTATGGAGCACCTATTTTAAGCCCAATGAAACTCCAGATTTGAGCGTACTCGGGAAATCGCTCCTTCCATCCTTTCACATTCTCTTTGATATCTCCATTACCGGGATTCATTTGTAAGACCCGGCGTAAGGCAAGACTATGTTCTACCCCAAACGGGTTTTTGCATGGGCACTTTTCCATTAGTTCTCCCAATCGACAACGCGAAGTAACACCTTGAGACTACTTTCTGCTTTATTACCAACTGTCTGTTTTCCAGCTCCACATCTGGGTTATTCTCAGGCCTACAATATGACGGTGTTTTCAGTTTATTACCCATTAGTTCAGTGTTTTCAAGTCGAGTTTGTTTGTAGGCGGTCTCTGCTTGTTTAGCACAGGATGCGCTCTTATGTCCACTCTGAGAAAATTAAGATCGGGCTATTTCTTAAAAGCCAGTCGATGGGGTTCCAGTGGCCATCTCCACAGATTCATGCAGAGTTGATACTCCCTTTCTATAATGATTTTGTATAGTTCTAGGTCAGTAAAATCGGGATTCTTGTACCTCTTAAAATAACGTTCTTGTGACTTTGAACATGCCTTAGCTTTTACGTGTGCGACCATTTGGTTCCTTAGCACCAACTTGGTCTCACCAACTTAAACGGAGCTACACATACGATTATTTGTGTGGTTAGCCAGATGAACGAACAGTACTGGAGGAAAGCAACGTTAACAGCAAGGTTGGCGAAGTAAACACCGGTCAGATCGGCCGATAAACAACTTGTTAGGAAGCGGATTGCCCAAAGCGTTCGCGTCTTATACGCCGTGTGTAAATGGCAATGCAAGAGGAGGCGTTCGTACGTGCGGATGGCTTGTGTTTGCACTTTATCCATCTAGCCATGCTAGAGCCATCCATAACGTGGGACGTCTCGACCGGCTGTTAGGAGTGAAAATACAACCAACCCCATGTATGGCGGTATTGTTCACGTCTGACCCCATATGTGGATCCAATCATTACATATGGTGGTTTGGGGAGGAGATACGGCAAGGCGATATTAAGTCAAAAAGAATCTTATACTTAAACTGGGGGTGGGGAAAGGGAGGGACAACAGCGAAAAAGGGCACCAACTAGTGTTAGCAATTTTACGGATGTCATAGGGGACGCGAGTCAGGAAGTAGGTGACTAGAAACGTAGGTAAAGCTTTATGAAAACATTGCGTAGGCCAAGTTGCGGAAGATTAAAAAGACTCATACATAAGTATACAGAGGTGAAATCCATATAGTTTTGCTATGACAGGTATTTTTGTGCACCCCCTCTCTTGATTGGTTTGTTATGCCCGCGTGACCACGGGTCGCGTCTGGACAGGTATAGGCCCCCTCCAACCAATTTCATTCCTTGTGTCGGATTCTATTCCATTTAGAAAAGTTTGATATTTCGCTCCTCTACCTCATTACACTTTCACTTCTTACACGTGAAGATTTCATGCATCACGAACTGCGTAAGACCAAATGACATTGCAGTCAAAGGACGGTTTGCATTGTTTTGTGAGGTGTTCTAGCATGTGTCCTAACTTTGTGCCCCTCGGATACGATTTTGCGTACCGTCTTCACTAACCAAAATCGAACCAATTCATGCTATAGGAAAAATGTTGGCCTCTGATTTCGAAGGAGCTCTTGGGGAACAGTGTCTTTGAAAGGATGGGATACTAAACTCCCTAAGGGTCTAATGCATTGGAATGATGCAAAGTATTTTGATGAATTATTCATTAACTTGGCGCCAACGGTGGAGTCTTCTGACGAAAATAGTTTCTCCCAGTCCTATTCAACACTCTACCATCTTGTCTTACTGATAATTCAGATAAGCCGAGAATAATCTTTGTTGTTTTTTAAAGCATTTGTTAAACAATTGTTTCGTTCTTTTGGAATGGTTTCACCAACGTCGCTACTAATGTAGCGTCGGGCGTTATTCGCCATATCAGCCGGAAAGTAGCTCTGTAATGAATGCACGGAAGTGCTGGAATACCGATAGATTAGGCACCATAAGAGAAGTATGCCTAAAAAAATATGCAATTGAGTCGATTATGGTTCTCTTACAGTGTGTTAAGTGGGATGAAGATTAGCCATCCATTCGGGGGGGGGGGAAAAGATACTGTTTTATTCACATTTATTTGAGTTCCATGGGAAGGACGATACGATAATATCCAAACCATTGCACCAAAATATGGAATGTAACCTCAGGTGAAGGTGTTTACTTCAAATGAGTAATTCCTGAAGATCTTGTGAAGAATACAACTCCAAAAGTGGTTGTTTTTATAGCGACTGAGAGGGTATCTGTGTGGAAGGTATAAACAGGCCTCTATGCTACCGGTGTGTGGAGATCGATCAGTGAGATGCCGCATATTCATTCAAGGCAGACGTTTTTCTGCTGCTCATGCCTTGGCTACTCAGTTGTATTTTTTCATTCTTCCCCACGCGAACCTTTAGGTCCTGTTTGCGCAGGTGTGGTGGGAGTAAAGATGCCGCGGTACTGTCTCTTTGGTGACACTGTCAACACCTCCTCGCGCATGGAGAGTAATGGCGAACGTGAGTCCCCTTCCTTCGCTCAGCTGAAAGCTACCACCTTTTTCCCCACCTCACATCACTTTTGCCTTCTTTGTCCCCTTTTAGCCAAGCGCATCCACATTAGCCGTACAACCATGTCCATTCTGCGTACTTTTCGTACCTTCATTATGTCGAAACGTGGACTCGTGGAGATGAAAGTGAGTCTACTTTATCGAATTGGAGAGAGAGCTCAGTTCGTTTAAACGCAAAACATTGAAGGAAGATGGTCAAGACTACTTTTGGACTGTTGACTATATATAGCTGGTAAAAGTAGCCCTCTGCAGGTTTACTATTTGGTTCGCCAGACACGCCATCAGCATAAGTCGTTCCATGTGCGAACTGCCACCGTTGTCTGCCATTCTGATTAATGGTGTCTGAACTGATCCATAACACGGATGACGTCTAATAGTTGTAAAACAGGCATGCCACTTACTACTGGCACGGTGTCACACCTTTTCATAGCCGCAAAATTAAAAGTCCCAGTCTAACCCAAAAGCCTGTCCAATGGGCATTTAGTCAGTGAAAATAGGCTGGCACTCTGAATGTAAGGAGTGAAAGGCAGGCAACTGGAAGAATTCGTTCTGCCCATTTCTTGCGTAGGGTAAGGGCAAGATGGAAACGTACTGGTTGCATGGTGAATTACGAAACATCGTTGACCCGCCAGCGCGCGGAGTGGCTCTAGTGGACAACAGCTGCGATCTAGTCACCGAAGCGCCCCCTACCTCTTGTGGTGGTGGTGATGGTGGTGACAGTGGTCTACCACCTCCTCCACCCCCGGCTGTCCCCGTGTTGGCAACCACAACTCCGCCGGTGGCGACTATTGGTGTAGACCCCCAACTCACTGCCACCACTCCTCCACCACCTTTGACAGCTACCCCCATGACGGCGGCAGTAGCTGCAGCCAAGATCTCCTCTTCCGCTGCCATCCCCACCGCCAACAACTCTCCCACTTCAAAGACGGCCACGTCGCCGACAGGTCTCATTAGGGCGATCTGATGTTGATGCTGAAGTTACTCCACCCTTCCATCTCTTCCTTCCCCAACAATCAGGCTGCCTCCTCACCCATCTCCTACCTCCTCTTTTGTCCCTCTCATCCCACTCCCGTCACTGGCCCATCAACCACAGTCTGTATATCCCTTCCGATTTTTGTATGATGATGAAAGCTTTGGAGTGGAAGGAAGTGACCGTAATGTTTGATAAAATGACAACCACTACTTTTCACTTCACTCCATTCCCACCTGAACCTTCCCTTCCATGAAAACAATCCAGCGCGCTTCCTGTGGTGTTACTGAGCTACCAAATCGCGCCACTCAGCTACTACTTTTTTATCAAAATCCAGATGACTAGAAAGCGAGGAATGAGGCGAGGAAAGGAAGATGGTTTACGATGGATGTTCCATCGGATAGTTAGAGGTAAAATGAGGAGGATGGGGTGGAAGAAATCTTACCACCGTCTTTGTGTAAAAATTGCCGCACCATCAGCAAAGACCAACACCACCACCAATGAAAACGATGATAAAATATACAAGTTATGCTATGTGCGGCTTGTCCTCCTCGATCTGGGGGCGTCACTTTAATCTGGTACATTTATGTCCATTCTTGGGAATGCGTAAATATTCGATTTAACAAGACTGGATTTGTTTAAAAAAGAAAAGAATTCGTATACTTGCGTGAGTAAATCACTACGATGTCCATCTGCACGAAATTTCTATAACTTTTGAATGCGTGACCGGCAGCAGTTAAATTACATGGCTGTATAACTTACCTAAAAGTAGTCGAAAACGCTCTTATGCAGTAAGCGGGCACTTAATTCTAAAAGCTTAAACAAAGGCAAGACGGATGGATAGTTCAAGCAGTAGAAAGATGTTTGACAATGAGACTGACAAAAACAAGGACTAAAGATGTCCTAGAATAAGAACTCCAAGATCGTGGTTTATTCCGCTAAGCTAAAGACGACAACAAAGGTCGATGAATTTAACCAAAAGACTATCAGCCCTCCCGATGAATGTGTAGCCAAAAGTAAAATTACATTAATTTATTTTAAAGGAATGCAAAATTCAGCTCGTACATGAGAATAGAGGCGCGTAGACCGACGGAAAATATAGGCACAAACAGGGACGTCGGAAGTGGGACCGATAAGCTCACACGCACCCACATACGTACAGACAGTGGGGAATTTTCGCCTGGGCGGGTCGGGCGAGGCGAGGTGGGCCACGAAAAGGGGGGGAGTGGAAGTGTATCCCGTGCTACGACAATAGAGAAGATGTCACGATGGCTTGTGGAGGGGAAAATTGGGGAAGAGAGGGGCAGTTATTTATCACGATTGCGGGTTGAGCAAAACATCTCATGTTCAAGGAATTGACAAGGAAGGCAAGGGTAGAGCAAGTGGGGATGAAGGGGGGGGAAGGAAGAGTTGGGATAGACTTCTGCTAATAGAAGGCACCCTTTATCTCAGCAACGCTCTTGAGAATGTAATTGTGACTGGTCCGCAGATTGCTATTGTGTGCCACCTCGATCCACCTAACGCGCTCATCGGCAACTGATTCGGCAAAGACCTTGAGGGCGAGAAAAGTCAAGCAATCTCAGAGAGCGATAGACCATGATGATTAAAATTGACTTTTGATAAATTTAAGAACTAGTTTCTGAAATTCATATTTCTGCCAGGGGGGAAAGTGAGCCCCTGGATATGGGACTTTTGTTAAATTTATTCACAATATTGGGAAAGTATGGCCAAAATTAATTACAGCTAGTTTGCCATTGAAGGTAGCCTGCTGTCTTGTAAAAGAAATGCGAGGCATATTATGCTTTGGCACCGATGTCCAAAGTTCACTACCAAAAATATGATAGAAAGGGGCATGAGTAAAGTTAGTACCACTCGCAGATAAATATTTATTTAGGGTGTAAGGACCTTACAGTGGCCAAACTTCTACGAACTGAAGCTTAACTCGATTTAGAGTGTTTAACTGCACCAATGGTTATAAAATGGCAAATACTAGAGGATTTTTAGGGTAAAATTTTTAATCAACAGCAAATGAACGTGTCAAGAGGGTATAAAACAAACTACGGATGTATAAGGGTTCGACAGCATTAGCGGTTATAATTTTGTGACACTTAGAAAAATCCATTCGGCAAATTTATGCTTTCCACCGTTTATTTGGTCACCTATTGCATTTGCTCTTAATACTTGCCTGCACATTCTTTGATGTTATTATGTCTTACCCAGACTTTGACAGGTGATGTGTTAAATTAATTAAGTTTGTAAATTAAAAACGGGCATGTAAGTACGTTTTACTACTTCCCTTTAAGCCAAGTACAAAAATTGGGAATCCATTTTATTAAATGATGAATAATTTCTTATTTAAATAAGAAATCTCCTAAACGACGTAAATGGTAAGTTTCTGCGTTATAAAAGAAAATGAGGCATAGTTCCACATCCGAGACCGGAATTAACTTATTTAAAATCATCATTTTAATTAGAATTAAATGCCTGTTCATTGCGGGTTAGTTCTTCGCCCTCGGTTGCAGAGGTCACTATGTGCTAGAAGCAAGTGCAACCAAATAAGGAACAGCAAACTTGATTCCTCCTGCAACGTCGCATGGACGCGTTTATTTGCTTGGTCGGTGGTAGTACACACATTTCTTATTTATTAAACCCTAAATCTGTCGTACTAGTCAAATAAACAGAAGAGTTAGAAAATTATAATTCACAAATGCCCATGAAGAATTTGACTTCACCTTGAGAATATCGTCGGTAAATTGAGCTCCCCTTCCTTCACCCTCATGGAAGTTGAGGACCACGGTTTCCAGCCACCCACCATCAGCATTTAGCTGATCATCAAGGTATCCCTTGAATATCTGAAATGAAAAGGGCACAAACCCTGGCATTACTCATTCCTCTCAGCCGTGTTGAAAAATCACGTCTACTTATATTACCTGAGTAACATCTGCCTTATCAAGCCGCCGCAGTAGTCGATCAGCGCGCTTCTCGGAGCACACGGCGCGGGCGCGTTGAGCGAAGTAGGCGCGCACCACCGTCGGCACGCACTCATCGTAGTCACAGCGGCTTTCGTGGTCAGTAAAGAACTAAACCAAGCAAATTAGATAGAGCTTCAAAAAAGAACCCCACAGAAACATTTACCAAGATTTTGCATTAAAATTATATAACTATTGAAATTACAAATTTGAAATACTCAAAAATTTAAGTCACAAACTTTGGAAGCTTTATTGCGGAACTTTAGAGCTCTATGGTAGAAAAATGAGCTCATTGTAAACAGTCATGGTTTTCAAGGTTGTTGAAGAAAGGGCATAAGTGAAGTCGAATCAAAAATGTAAAGGATTGCTTAAGAGTTAAGCCACAAATACTTTCTTTTGGTTTAGGGAGTTTGCATAGGCAGACTGTCATGAAGTTTTTTATCAAGAAAAAAGATAAGGGAAAGTTAAAAGATTGAGTGACTTCTATGAAAGTCAGTTAAGCTCGTTACCGCAAAATCACGAAGATTAATTTTAAGCAAGGAAATGTCACTGTAAACAAGTTAATTCTTTTGTTTTTTAAACCTTTGTCTATTTTTTGACTGACTCTTCTGAGAATTCGGAAGAAGGAAAAGTCAATGCCGTAAAATACATTCTCAGTATAGTTGCAAATTGTCTGGATGAGTCTCTTTGTGAGAGGGAAATACACTTATTTCTGTTATAGAATAAACTTCCGCTGATGTAAAGCATACATGGCTTGAATTTTCACCAAATACTAAAGAATCTTCTAGTTAACTCTAACGTGAGTGTCTTTTGCGTCACCTGAGCCATTCAAAGTACGGTAAGGGCACTAGAAGATGCCTTGAATTGTGATGAACCTCTCAGAGTCAAATGCATGGTCTTTTGCACTCAGCAAAGAGTTGGGGATTTGAATGCACTGAGAGCTGTAAAATCTGGTCTAACAACACTTATCGCTTCGTTTTTCCCGAATCCCAAAAAAGGAGGCGCAAAAAACATTGCAGCATGCAAGCTTCGCCCCAAATTGCTGTATTGCAGGCTAATGGACATTCAGGGTGAGCAACACATTACCAACAAGTTCGGGGCCTTATTCAAAGGAATTCTTAATTTGTTTCATTAGGAAGGAATTTTAGGATTTGCACTAAAAATATTACAGATTAGCGACTGATTACGTGTTTCGAAGTTGGGCACACAGGGAAGGCATATGACATTCGTATGGCATAGGAAGGAACGGGTAGACCGTCCCCACTCCGTGTAGGTTGCAGACTGAGAGCAGACGCTCGGTGCTAATATATGGTAAATAAAAATGCAGTATCACGATCTTATCACCACAACCCCGTAATCACACAAAATGGGGAAGTAAACAAAGTTAGGGGATATTTTAAGGCATTATTTGTTTTCTGCTAGTGTGAGGTCATTTCAACGTGATTTTAGCATTAATTACTAGACATATACGATTGTTTAAGATATTGACGAATTCAATTAAGTATTTTTAAAGCCTCTAACGTTGTTATCACTAATTTTTTTACTTCACCATTTATTCTCATACACGTGGGAATTTCATTCATTAGGACGCCTTAGAAGGATACATTTCTACTAGACGATGTCCCCATTTTCGGGAGAAGAGTCGTGAGAAATTAGAATAACCACAATTTTTCGATAGTTTTTCTCTAATTTAGGCTTCTTCTTCGAGTGAAATTTTTTTCACATTAAGAATAGCCTTCAGCTTGAAATTATGATTAATACTTGGGAAGAAACTAACACAAGTGCAGGCGGTCGGTGCTGTCTTGTGACAGTAAACATTTGAAGGGTGATAAATAATAAACTCTAACAAATCAGCTCAAATAAAATTGATGCATGATTATAGCAACCACTTTGCTAATTGGCACAAGAAATAGGAATGGCAGAAGACTGAAAACCGCAGGCATTCATTTAGAACTGCAAAGCGCTTAAAATTGCGTGCTTCGTTCATGATAGACATTTTTAAGCTTCTGAAGAGGCGAATACGGACGGGGAAACAAACATACGGACACTTTGACATGTAAATTTATTCAAACTGTTCGATTGCAAGTTTGTGGATATATGTGGTGAGCAGTGACTAGCCATCGACAAGAGCAGTACTGAGAGATGGACGAATAAATACACTTCGGTAATTTTTAAGGTATCTACTTTTAAAAACTCAAAAAATGCATTTGCAGAGGAATTTTTGCATTTCTGAGGAAAGTAACAAATCATCACTACATTTAGGGTTCCTTATTAGGTAGAGTTTTCACAAAAGGAATTAAAATCTATTCATGGCTTCATGAGGGACAGGCACGATGGTAAAAAATAAGATGAATTCATATTTTATTATTCGTTTTGCGGTTGCAGAATTTTCTACAGAAGATTTCTCTGATGTGTAATAATTTGACTGTTTTGTAAATTTCTTTGCTGAAGAATTAAAAATGACTTCCACCATCGGCAAGTACCCCAGTCCCACGTTCTAAAAAGAAAGGGCATTGAGAGCTGAAGCGACACTAGCCGCGGCCGTGAACCAACTAGAGAAGTTCATTAAAGAGCTGTCTACGGTACGTGCATGAAGCGATTTCTCCTCCACATCACTACTAGCTAAGTAAAACTTAGATAGATGTTGTCTGGCAATACTGAAGCGAGAACATTGTGGTAAGGAAGAATAGGCGCAAAACCTTATCATCACGAAACCCTTTTCAAACCCCCTCTATTATTAAATGACTCCGCTTTTAGGCCAGCGTCCTTTCTATCAGCGATGGACATACGTGGTGGCCTGCACACTGCCCCTTCCCCTAATACAGTTCGTAAAGAGGATGAATTTTAAATCCATTAGAGCTGTCAAGAGGGAGCAGTGACGTTGCAGTCAGATATCGTCCCAGTTACACGTACATTCGATGACTAGTATGGATGGTTCTTGGGCGTTTTCCTTACAGCACCCAACGACACTTTGATTACCGACACGTGAGGTTGGCCAATCGGAGCGCTGTGGACGACGCCCAAAATGAGAGAGGTACGATGCAATGCAATGATTATTTGTTTAATACCGCGTTTTGATTTCGAAGGCAATTAATGTTCCCCTCTGGAAATCCCACTGGATGGGATAGTGTCCGAGTTATGCCAGTAGGCCCCAGCCCTTCTTTCATCTTTGAGAAAGACTCTAAACGCTACATACGCTGCTTTTTAATAACTTTAAAATTTTGGCTCAAAAATATTATGGGTTGTAAAGGAGACTTTATAATGATATCTCAATTCACTGCAATTGTAAAATTTAGTAGCAGGTAAAATAATAGGTCTACATTTTAATAAAATAAAGCTTGATACTGATACATGTGAAAACCTGTTTCGCAAATCTTATTAAAACTTGTTTTTTTTTTTTTTGAAAAAAGCAACGCATTCGATGAAAGCTTATTTAGGTGCAATCAAAGCGTCCACGAATCAACACTTCTTCGGGTGTCTCCACCCTCTGTTCAAAAATATCAAAGCGGACGAATAATCATGGCGACAACTGCCAGCTTAGCTGAAGTTTCATTAACCGTAACTCTTTAACCATCCTGATCACAGGTACAGACAGAGACACAGAGAAATTAGTACCACCATTGCTAAAATATAAGGATAATTTGTTAAAGCACCCCTGGCTGGCTCAGTGGATGTCAAAAAAATGCAGAGAAAATGTTTATCCTCTTTTAGAAAAAAGGCAGTAAAATTAAAACTAGGGAGTGAAGTAGTTTTAGATCTCATTAATTATTTTATAAGTTGTATTTGAATTGATCCCACCGAAAAACATAAAGTGGAATGACGGGGTAATAGTAAATAAATAGAAAGAAATCATCCAAGAGAATGGACTTACCCAAGGCAAGCAGAAGCGTTTGTTGCGTTCGAGAGCAATCACCTGTAGTACCCCCTTGTTCCCCCTCAACACAGGGGTTCCCGACTTTGGATTGCGGCTCCATTGAGTCACTACAATAACAATGGAGTGATTGGGACCCCAGTGAGGGAGAAGCCCCTTTCCCAGAAGCCCTGTTCTCCCCATGGGGTTAAGGGGAGCTCCGGTGTTGGGATCCAGTCGGTAGCGACCCAGGAGGCTCTGGCGACGAATGTGGTTCTTCGAGTCGTAAGTATTGAAGGGAATGCTTCGGAGGATGGCTGAACTGCCGAAACTGACGCCGTGTTGGAAACTGCGTGGAAGGGGGTCAGAGATCTACGATTAGCAATTATGTTGATAATTGAGGAATGATTTGCAAGTAACAGCTTCGCTCACTTTTCTCCATCGTGAGCTGTCTCATCTGGATACAGCACAGTCTCTTCAGATGAGTCGTAGGCAAAATAATCGGGATATCGTGTCTAAAATTAAGCAAGAACTAAATTACAATGCAAATATAAAGTCCTTCATAAAAAATAGGTGAAAAAGTATTTTGATTAACAGCTCTTTCAATTATGAATGAGGGAAATTTGACAGCTCTTCCTACGGTATGCTGACGGGACGCAGCAATATTTTTCAGGGGTAATTGTGGAGTCTGGTTGCGTAATTTATGGGTATGTGGTCAACGAAAAAGTGATGTTTCAGCCACCATAAATAACTTGGCAAACTTCTACAAGAAGAAAAAATAAATCCTTTGGTTCTTAAAGGGGCACCACTCTTTTACAACGTTCTTTTGTTTTTAGGGCTGTTTCAAAAGACTAGGACCCAGGCCGCTTCCTTACAGTATTCGCAAAGTTTGTACCTGCGTCTGTATTTATAGCAAGAGGATAATCACAACAGTTTAGTAGTTTTAAACTCGTTCTTTGGCAAAAGTTAAAGGATATCATCACGTACTTCGTCGAAGTGAATTGAAGCTTTACCGGCAAGGGTAAAACAGTGACAGAAAAGTATCTCCAAGATTGAGTTACTTAGTTTCCCAGCTGACAAATAATGGCAGACATTTGTAAATATGAGGAAAAATACGAGAGCTTTGACTTGTTCAACACAGGCAAACTAATTAGAGTTGTCAAAGCAAAAAAAGCAAATAACTGACACATGGAAAACCATTTTGACTTTTCAATAGCTTTCAACGAATTTCCGGATCCAAAAATGAGTGCTTTATAGAATAGCGGAAAAACTTACTGTCCAGGCGGTCTTATCCGGCGGCACATTCATCCGCATGCCGGGATACTTTTCAAAGTTGAAAGGCGCAAACCGCCACAGTCTATGACCGGCGATATTGCGTTGCAGTGTTCGACCGGCGTTGGAGTCCACTGCGGGCGGAATTTGGACAGGATCGGCTGAGGGGTCACCACCACTGTCCTCTGTTCCGCTAGACTCCGCCTCCGAGCCAGGAGCTCCGGTGGTGATGGGAATTTCCTGATCCCTGCAAATTTTATATACAATTCATGCATTTTTAGTGCCATGCTGAAAATTTCACTGCGAGTATGTGATCAAGAGGCCGTCATGGTAATCCTTTCCTCATCTTATTGCTTTGTTGCCAGCGGAAGTGGCTATTGTTTGTCTGTTGTTAGCAAATCTCCATACCTTTGTCTGTGTGTTTACTATAGGGAGCACATAGTAGCCCAGATTTCGTACGTGCTTATTACCCATGCTTTGCCTACAATAAACTAGGAATTTCAGCCAATAAACAGATTTTAGAACAGCTGTTTTGCGAACGGTTATTTTTCTTGATGAGATAACCAACTCGGTCCCATTCCAACTTAATTTTTTGGCAAGACTTAGTGGTACGATATAACCTGTCTGCATAAAAGTTGCTAAGGCTTTTTTAATGTACACGCAACTACTTATCAAAACTGCACAAAAGGGAAAACTAGCAACGTCTTCAATCCTCATTTTTATAGATTGGAGCTGCAATTTCTGTCCTTACCTTATAATTAAGGGACAAGAATAGACAAAATCAGATGCATTACAAGGATGCCTCAATGTAGCTAAGAAAGGTATTGCGTACTAGGAGGGAGTCTAGAAGAATTTACCCACTTCTGCCAACAGTCTAAGGCTAATTGAACTTCCAACACGGAAGCTGAAATATACATAAGTACAGAACCAGTTTAATCAGTTCAAAGAGGCTCTATAACTTAAGTTTTGATGAATTAAAGTTTTATTATAAAAAATCGCCCGTCAAAATACCCCACATTTGTAGCTAACGCAAAAGGAAAACCTTGTATGGTTGAAGAAGTACACAGACTTCCTGGTCTTAAAACTACTTTCAAGGTGGCAGAACCTCACTTTGGAGGGACATTGAAGAAAAAATAATCCCAAAATGTTGTTTTGTTGAGGAACATCTGCAATTCTACTGCATAAACATAATGTCTTTGTTTGTTTTGACGAAAGCCATTCTGCTTCTTCTCAGCGCCACATTATCTGCCAATGCTCCTCAGTTTCCTGGAGAGATTCGGCTCAAATGCTGCACTTTTGTGATGCGTTTTTTCGGAGAGGAATAAGTGTCATTTTGAAAACAGAAGGACAAAACAGTTGAGCATGTTAATTGAGCAAAAACAATGATGTGAATTGGAAGTAATTTAGGAGAATCTATATTGACATCTGAAAAAATGATTTAATAGAAGGAAAGTTCGTTAATGCGACCTTAAGGCCGACGAGTTGACTAACCTTGGTGGCGGAGGCGCCATTGGGGGTGGAGGTGGTGGTGTGGGTGGTCGAAGTACGTCTTTGGCGGCTTCCAGGGCTGACTGCACAGCAACCTCAAGTTTCGTCCGCCTTTTGGGCGATTCACCAGACTTATCCTTGCCGTCCGCACTTTCGGGTTCGTCTACTAGTTCGATGCACTGGCAGGTCGGCAAATCGGCTATCTTTTTCATGATCTACCGTGAAGTGATAGACAAAGGTTACAGAGATAAATACCTCCACCAGCAGTTGACATGAGGTGATGCGACTTACTGCCTCTTGGGTTGCTGTGACTTGTCGAACAACTTCACCAAGGGAGGTGAGGGTTTGAGTAACCTCGGTTAGACGAGCGTCAACTTCATTAAAACGTTGGAAGTGTGCATCCAGGTCTTTGAATCGCTTCTCCAGTTCCATTCCGATCCCCTGATACAAAGTCACGGCAACAATGTAAATAAATCACCATGATACACAAAAAATAACCTATACAGGACATTTTTATAAAACGATATCTTTTTTCCAACTGTAACAGGAGATTTATAAGCAAACATTCAAAAAGGGACGGTTTTTCTTATTAATTTTTCCCTCACTTGTTTGGTAGGTGGGGTCCTAAGAAAAAGTGGTGAACATGCACAAAAGTGAGTTTACTTTGTTCTCTTAAAAAGTGAACTTTTATTGCATGACTCTCTACACATCAGTGGAATTCCGATTGTTAGATTTCAATGAATCGACACCATGAAAATTCGCGATAATACCCAACCCCCAGTCCGGTGCTAACTTAAAGTTAACTGAGGCGTTCCTTTTTTATGCACCCACAGTCCCAATTTGAGAGCAAGATCACACCCTAAAAGCAAGAAAAAGGTACTAAAACAACTGTTGTACGTTTGTATTCTGCCTTGAACTGGATGGAAATACTATATGGCTATCCACAATCACGTCATCAATGAGGATTTAGATGACATTTAAGTGTACCAAATCGAGTTAGTTAGTCAGTGGACTTTGTCCAAAATGTTTATTGGGAACCCATTATGAACGGCGAATACCTGTAAGGCTTTCGTGCAGTTGTTTCATAAAACAAACATCGAATTCTACATCAAAATGTGCAACAGTCCACTACCCACCAACTGGTCTTCCCTCCTGAAAGTGAGAGGCACCCAGCAAGCACAAATTTTGCATGACTGGTGCAAATTGCATAAAAAGCGGCCAAACAATTCTCTTCACAGGTATTTACGAAGCATTCCTAAATGCTCACCGGGCAGAGACTTGCAAATTTGTTCCATAAAAGCTAATAGAATTTGCGTAATTTTTTTAGTGAGCAAGACAACTCTTCATTATTTTTTAGACTTTATATTTATTTTTTAAAATAGCTTAGAAACCATTGGTCATTCTCCTTTAAAACGAGGAAGTCTCTGATGGGCAATTTAGCGGTCGTGGTCAAGAGTAAACAAAAAGGGAGGGAAAAGCACAATAAAAATTAGTCGTATTTGTTTGCGCCTAATCATGACATTTAAATACATCATCGTCTAACTTTTATCAGGTCACCTTATTGCCATTCAGATATACGGATTTTAAAATTTAATTTGAAGGTTCTTTGCATCTTAACTGCTATGATTTCTTAATGGAGATCATTACATGTTTTATTAACAATAAGATGGAAGTCGGTAAAATTTTGTGCTTTAGGAGATGTAAGTATATTTCTATAATTCGCAGTTTTAACCCCAGCCAAGGGTTCTTTTAGGAGATACCAAAGGGTACTGCTCATCCAGTCATTCAATACATCCAGTCTGATTGAGTGTGACCACTTCGTCAACGCACATTCGTCTCTCCACCGCTGAGACTGGCATATATCGCCTTAAAGCTCATCTTTACCTACCATTATCCTCTACGTTCCAAAAAAAATGCAATGCCGATTTAGTAATTAAAAAATAAAGATATTTCTGCATAACTTAAAGTGTGGGTTTTGTTTTGCCTAATTTTTGCGAAATTCACATTTGTCAAGAGATTCAAAGTGCACATCGGGCGTGACACGCTTAAAGCAATCATCAAGGGCCTTAAATTTTGCCCCGAGAAGTAAAAATTTGACTCCTGATTACTAGATAAAAGAAAGAAAGCCATCCTCTTAGTTCCCGCATTCTACTTTAAAGTGGAAACACCTCTATGCTTGTCGATTAGCCACCTCTGGGATTTGTCAAAAAGAAAAGACAAATAATATACGATTGTTTAAAAGTGAGGTGAGTCTCAATCGTCTTTACGGTTTTATACTTGCATTACCAAAATAAGGGCAGGGAAGAGATGACAAACGTGTGACTCAGGTTAATGTTCATATGCAGATTTTGAAGCATTTTCACTCGAATGCTATTGCGCAGTCATCCATGCATTGCAACCCTTCAATAAAACCCTCCCAATAAATTATTTTTTCCTTGCAAAGGCAAATACCTAAGCACTTGAAATGGCAAAACCGCTGTATCGCACAGGCATCGTGTCTGATGTGGGGATGGCGGGAGACTTTTATCTCGTCTGCGAGGACGGCGCGAGGCAAAGGAGCCCAGCGCCTGCGGCAGATGGGTGTCAATGCATGTATACGAGAAAAAAGGGCAAAATGAGGTGCAATGCTTGATGGTTTTGGTGTGTAAGTAGGACACGACATTTTCCACTAGCCTTCGTTAGAAAGGAACATATTACAGGATAAATAAGGTCCACTAAGTCTCCTATATCGGAGCCCTGAACTTGCACATAAGAAGTAGGACGCGAAATAAGTGGCCTTTCATGGAATGAATCTTTTAGCGCCAATTTAGAGTTAAGTCAGAAACCAACTTGCCTAATGATGGGGGCGGATGGCCCTCTTTCCTTAAAAAAGTCACAATGTTATCGAGGTGGAGACGCGAAAGAAGAAAAACGGGTCTACTGATATTTATTTAGCAATTTAGTTCGTCAAAAGTCTTTAAAGCAGAGTAGCATTTAGCACATAAGAGTATGGAAGCCTCTTGAATCTAGCTTACAGGTGCTAAATATTAAAGAGAGTTTTGATCACATGTCAAAAGATCAGGCAATGACATTTTCGTGCGAAGTGATATTTCTGCGAAGCAAACCAACATCATGATGTGACAGCTGTTAGCTGAGCGAAAAATTTCCCATGCATTTTGGCGCAGCCCGCTGCGATGACTCGGTGTGTTTTGTAGAGACCTGCCAAATTCAAACCGTGTAAGGCATAAATACCTTGCTCTTCACTATTTCCCGCCCATTTTAAACCCTCATTTCATAAAGTGGCAATCAAAACTAGTGGAATGGAGTTGAGGTCACCTAATTTTCACAGACAAACGTGAGCTCGCACCCAAACTGGCAAAAGACCTTCTCTCCTAGAGAAGGCGATACGCAGCGGTCGACAGTAGCAGAACGTGCCACCCACAATCAAACAGTTGGAGTAAACCACTTAACTCCATTGCTGAGTAACACGAGGATGAATCCATCACCTCCATTACATTGTCAATCCATTCCTCATCATGAAAAGCTACGTGCCAATAGTGACACACCGATTCAAGATTCTCGTGCAAATAACAACATTCAATAATGCTTTAGGCCGTGAGTAGTGAAACAATTTGTTTGCATCTACTTTGGCCAGGAAGAGGGAGTCATGGAAGCCAGTGTGCAAGTGAGTCTGACCCACACCCCATCCACTAACAGATAACATCTGCATCAAACATCCATTTGTTCATCCTTCCATCCATCCATCTGGTGTGCCTCACTACTTTTGCAACCGACTAACCGACCGATTGGTTCGTGGTGAGAAACGACTGTTGTCTTCCAACAATCGTTTAATCTACTGGCTTCAATGTTTACTCCAAAACGATCCACCTCACACTTCTAGTAGTGGACATCACCTTGTTCCCACAAATCAAGACGTTGTCTGCTTCATGTGTGTGTGTGGCGGAGTGGGAAAGCATTTGCCTGCTGTCAGGCATCTGCAACCGAGGTCTATGGACACCACACCACTTGAAGGTGTGCAAGAAAACTTCTTCGCGAGAAGCAGCTAGGACCAGTCCATCAATCGGAAGGAGGTTCTAGCCTTATTTTCACAAACCAATACAACGCAACGCCTCAACACACAGCACATGGTCCAACCCAAATGCCAAAAAACTTACTGGTGAGAAGTCCTCATACCACACCTTTAAATGGAATGAGAGGAAAATTTTGTCATGCATCCTCAGCATCATTCCCGTCCCCACTGTCATGCTTCGTATTCGCCTGATATTTCTTCAAGCTCCAAGTGATAACTGTCATTTACTCTAAGAATTGACATTGAATGATTTCAAGGTTCACTGCTTCTGGAAGCAAAGTGTTCATTCACAATGGTATTTACAGCAAGTTTGTGTCCAGCTGGGAACGGATGATGAACTATCATCGTGAATATTGCAATGAACATCATAATTTAAAAACCCTTTTAGTGCTATTTATTTTGACTTTGGGATATGCCCAAAGTTGTGCGGGTACCCTATAAATTATCATGTCAACAGCATTTGATGTTCTGCTATTACCTCATAAATATGTGAATTGAAACGTGGGATTTTGATTAAATATATCTAAATGTAGAGAGGGCAATGCCTTCTGAAAACATCCAACTCGTTTGCTGATTTGTAATTACTTTTTTTGATGTTTTATAAGAAAATCTTAGGCGTTCATCATTTCCTAAAAAACCGAATCTTCTTCTTTCAATGGGGATTCATTTTGTCCTCTTGTCAAACAAACGAATTATGGAATAAATTCTAAACAAAAATTTCACAAATTTAGTCAGGTCATTTTCAGCAGACCTCACTTAGATTATTGAACCAATGTGGTCATTAGTTTAAAAACTTTGAGTACCCACTTCAGTGACAGCCGTCATTTCGGACTTGAGGTCCATCACCGGTCCTGGGCCCATTCCGCTGCCGGCGCCGACGCCGCGAAATACGACGGCCCTGGACTCCACACCGCCACGCTTGCCACCCGACTTAGTTGACGGCTCGCGTAGGTAGTCCATCGCCTTCATGTGTTCCCACTTCACCATCTCCCGCTCCTTCTTTACATCTTTAAACGTCACGCCTTGTTAATCCGGGTCGAGAGAGGAAGAAACCGAGAGAATATTAATGCACATAGGTTATACAAAAGAAAACCTTTTAAATGTATTTTTTTCCTGCCGAATATCATTTGCATTCCTTGAATGTATAAACTGCAAAACAATTTTTCTTACTGTTAGATCAAAAACTTAACAGTTTTTTGCAGAAGGCGCTTTGACTTAGGGTGAGTCTGCCAAAACAAATGATTTGGTGCTGCGACAAAAGATTTAATTTGCCTTTTAAATCACTCCATTCAGAGTACACCATTAATAGCCGCATTTAGAAACGGAATTATTGAGACAAAAGTATCCATCATATGGCATTGCATTGAATGTGCCACCCAAGTCCGAGGGCTCAGATAAAAAAGTGTAAATGTAGGTGTAATGTCGCTAAAATAGCATTTATTAATAAACAACAGTCTATTAACCTATGAAAAACAAAAGGTAATTCATTTATGGAGAGCAAAATCCTAGAAAAATATTAGTTATGACCATGGCAGTGAATGAAGAAGTAATGTGACTTTTCTCAAAGTCGTCTTTATTTAACGGAGAAGATTGCGCAACTTCAAGAAGCCTAAATCTTGGGAAAATTAGTAAAAAAACCTAAAAAAATATTTAGTGTTGTCTCTGTTACCATAAAACAACTAATGCGGATATTTTTTACTGTGTTTAGGCCATTGGCTCTCTAGAAGGAATTGCTTACTGTGGAATTAGTTGGATTTTTAGTGAGATACCACAGTGACACAAATAAGTTAATAGTGGAAAAAGAAACAAACTAAAATGATAAGTACAAAAATCCATTATAAGAAGTGGTGGACGATTTCTTTTTCCTATTCAATAGGTGTAAAATGCGGTCTCATTTATGAACTCATATTTTGACTTATGCAATATAAGAAGAGCCCTTGAGGCCTTCAATGCGGATAGAAATGCAGTGAGTGAAAAATGTGACAAAACTTCAAGTGAATCGGAGGTAAAATACACGAGTCGCACATCCACAATTGGACTACACCTTTCTTACGGCCAGCGACCCAGTAAATTCCAAAGACACGCTAAGGGAAACTGATTGTAAGTAAATGTGAAGTTATAAAGCTAAAATTGGTAAACAAGTGAACTTTTTTTATCAAGAAAGTAGAATTATTTTAGAAAATTTCGAGAGTTTTTAAAATGAGAACAGTATGTGTAGTGTGGTGGTGTTTCGAGGTGTCAAAGTCACATTCCCATGTCGCATCTCACGTGGATAATAATTTTGAAGGGAAATCAAAGTCTCCTCACTTATAATAATAAATAGCATTAAATGTAGCCTCTCACAAATTTTAACCAAAATATCTTTTTATATGTCAACGAACTACCCCTATACTGAAGGGTTGTTGATACCTAGTTGAATGTTCCAATTTAATGAGCCGGGCAAAGTTAAATGAGGCAAATGGGGACGTTGAATGAGGTAGATTGGCTTACAGAAAGGGTTATTCTCAATCTGTTCAGTGCTTCGAATGCTTGCGCAACGGTTGCCCAGCGCCTTGTAAGCCTCGTAGAAATGCCAAAAGATGATCAACGGAGGCACCAATGGTGATCGCCTCACGTAGTCAGCAATCATTTGGTAGCGCTGATAGTTCCAGTAGTAGGTTGAAGCGCTTTCGATTTCTTCGTATGTTTTTCTAAAAACAGTCAGTTAATGCATTCACCTCAAGCCAACCACTGCCACCTAGGTTTGAAGAGGGAAGTCGACGAAAATGTATACTAGTGCTTTTAAGCAAAGACCTTTTTAAAGGTCATTTATGAGGCGATGCACGATGATCTTATATAGGTTGTTATTATTTTTGAATTCTATTTATGAGTGTTTAAGGTGGTAATTTTTCGTTTAATTCTTCGTTTTGCTTTTAAGGGCACTAAGGGCTCCGATTTGGCACATTTGCTGGACGGCATGGCCTCTGGACTACGTTAGTAGCCCGTCAGCCCTTCCCAAAGTCGGCAATATACATTCAGTCCTAGTATAGTGTCTTCTTTCGTCTTCAGGGAAGTTTTGGGGTAATGCATCGGTGGCACCAGAGAGCGAATCAAGTGATAAAAGTCAACCACCCTGCTTTCTATTACCGAACGTTAAACTTGGACTCGACGGAAAAAATGGTAAATACTGTCGATGGGAGATTCGGTGACAACTCCTTACAGGTCAGAAAGCGACGTCTACCCTATTCGAATATTCCGGTTCTGTGCTCTGCGGAAAAGCTATTGAAAAACTGCAGCAACTCTAGCCGTGGCCGTAAACAATCCGAAAATGTTCGTTACGGAATTTTTACGGTACCTGGATGAATGTGTCAATTACGTGAACACGCGATACCCACTTTACGGCTCTATCAGCTGGATAGAACCCAGGTAGATGTGGCTGGGTAGCACTGAAGTGAGAATAATGTGGCAATGAGAAATAGACGAAAATCCTCATCCTCACGAAACTATTTCATAACTCAATCCTTTATTATATAAATCTGCCTTTAGGCCAGTGCTTGTGAGACTAGTGATAGGCCTATGAGATGGCCAGGAAATTCTCCCCTCCCCATTTCATTTTTTGAACAGGGCAAAACTTTAGATCCAGTGGGATTGCCAGTCTTACGCAAATTTGACGACTGGTGCGGTCGATTCGTGAGTGTTTTTCTTATGGTGCCGACTACATTGTGATGGCCAATGTGAGAGGTTGATTAAGGGGAGCGATGGTGACGATGTACGAAAGGCGAGGGGAACTATCCAGCACTTTTATTTGTTTAATTCTTTGTTTTGATTTCTCAGGCACTTAGGACTCCACTTTTGTACTTCCGATGGGCGCTATGGCCTCTGAGCCGTGCCATTAGCTCCACAGCGCTTCTCTAATTCGGCAGTGCCTATTCTGTCCTGGAACTGTGATTTGCTTCAATTTTAGGGAAGACTCATGACACCACTAGTTTCAAAATATACTTTTTGGATATTAAAGCCATCACAAGTTGCATAGAAGTGTACAATAACTTTTTTATAAAGGAACGGGTTTCGAAAATGAATTGGGTGGATTTTTAATGTAACATTGAGTAAAAATAGATATTTGGAATTGGGATAAGTAAAACAAGTACTAATTTTCTAGCTTGTTTTTGAATGAACTTAAACAGCTTTATCTATGATTTAATTGATCTGTTTGTTTTAATTGTCTTGGCTCTGAATTAAGGAGAATTCAATTTTCATCCATTGTATCCGTTTCACGATCACTTTACGAGAGGTACTTCGGGGAGCATCCATTATTTAACCTGTAAAATTCAATCACACCTCCTCTTCAGCAGTATTTTGGCCTTGCTTTCGTAACACCGGACAGCGCTATTTCTTCTACGTACATTTGCTTACAAAGGAATATTTTGGGCCATTCCCAAGAGAAGCTTATAACATATCAGTCGTCCATACTTAGGGGTTAAAGGACTGTTTTCCAAAATGTCACAGTTTAACAATGTATGATTTGAAAACCTCGTGAGGTATCTGGAAAATAAACTTAAAAGCTGATTACATCAAATTCGGCCTTGAACTTTGGAGTTAGTCACGTTGTTACAAATCTGCCAAGCAAGTGAAGATTGTGCATTCCTCTCCACAACTAGAAGTTTACTACGAAGATTTTTTGGTAATGAAAAGGCTTACGAGAACATAGCGATGAGGAGATTGAACATGAGAATATTTGTCAGTAGAACGTAGAATCCGAGCATGATTGGAACCAACCACCTGGACGTTTTCGTGGGACACATTCCATTTTGGCAGTTGCGATCTGAAGACAGGAGGAGATTGTGTAGGATAATCAAGAGTCGTTTGATGCCGTCATATGAGCGAACTAGAAAAGCAGTTGTAACTGCGTCTTCTACCTTAAATTTGCTCAGACGTAAAGTAACTTTGATGCAAAATGTATCTACTAAAGCCGGCCGGATTCATTTAGAATTCAGACTATAGTTCTACTTGTGTGGAGCCAATGGATTCGTAAATAATGCAGTGAGGTTCCAACAAACAGATTTAATGCCTACCATTTCTCGAAGCTAACAAGGCATTTTAAATTCATGACTTAAGGCCTTTGTGCTGCTAAAATTAGAATAATATGTACAATTAAAATCACAAGGATTTTACGACTATGCGTGATAAAATTCCTCCTATTAATGAAAAGTCGTCGTCAGGCCTACAGATATTTTACTGACAAAATTTATCAAGTGCTTTAAATTGAGCATTTGGGCCGAAGGAGACCATGGTGTCATTTTAATTTTTTGAAAGGCGAGATGTGGGGAAAAACCTAATTTTAAAAGGATAGTCATTTACCCACCCTCTCCTTGAAGTGTGTCCAAGCTGAAATCGCCAAACATTTGAAAGTAGGCTGTTGTGTACATTGAGAAGATCGTGTCGATAAATTTCATGCCTTGAACAGTTCCATCTAAAAAGCAATGAAAACAAGCCAATATTTTGCGGCTGTTTTTAAAAGATCCCCTGATTCGACTCAATAGGGCTAGGATGTAGGGGAAACAGATTATAGAGTAGATTTAAAAGGACTTGTCCCGCCTTAGAGCGAGCTCTATGATGTCCTGTGGTGATGGGTGGTTTGAAAAAAATGGGTTTGTCATGATATTAGGTTGTCGATTTGACTTACTGATTGAGAGTTGTTCACTTGTGTAGAAGCCGTTGGGATAAGCTATGGACTGAGCTGCCACCGCGTAGCCAACCATGATGACAGTTAAGATGATCATAAATGGGATCAAATCATTGGTGACCTGGATGTACATAACAAAACAGTCTTTTTGAATCAGAGAGCTAAGCGGGTATGTAAAATACTCAGTTAGCCCTCCTGATGACACACACTGTGTTGAAAAGTGGTTATTAAAATCTACCCTCCCCCAATGGGCGATCATATAGCTAATGCATATCATTGAATTAGTGAACATCCAAACTGCGGAGGAGGGCTTAGAGGTGAAAATAGAGAGGCACTCTGTTAATTTTGCTGACGAGCTCCAATGCACACGACTTTTTTGCTTTTACCCAATGCCACCCACATGAATTTGTTCATTTAGGTGATTCAAAACATTCCACTATGCGGGCCCGTAAATTATCACGCAATTCAGTGTTTGATATGAATTTCTCACACGGAATAGAGTGTTTAAAGTTAGGCGAAGTCGTTCGCATATCATTCATATCTAGAGCAACGAACACAAAAACCGCTGAGATGCACATCAAATACGTCTTGTTTGGACACTAGCTGTTAGTGACATAGATAGCACAAAACGCAATTCTCAGATCATCAAAGAGTATTGCAAATAGGAATTTCATGACACAAATGCTTTCAGTGACTTTCAGAATTGTAACTACACATATTTCTTTAAAAGAAACTGAAAACCACTAAATTCCATAAATTAAGATTGTGTAAACGATCCGTCCACTGGCATCCCTATACACCCACACAAGGAGGACGCATCATGGGATTGAGGTTTTGCTTTTATCTGCAACTAGTACTTCTGACTTTTCGTTCTTAGGCTTTACTTGCCAAGTTGTTTGCCATTAGTACAAAAGGCTATAAAAATGCCTAAATGAATATGTGGCAGGATTTAAGGTCCGTAAAGGACTCAAACGCAAATAATGAAAGCACTGTTATGGGCAAATAACTATTAAATTCAGTTTTATAGCGCAGAACCCTTTCACAGACATAAATAATAAGCTGCATAGGAAACGAGGTCGGTATTTTGCAATGCAAAGTTGTCAAGTGAAAAACGCTGACACAGTCATCACTATTGTTTCTCTGTTTGAGCTGGTACAAGGACACTTCCTTGCTCCGGCGCTAGGCCTTCAAAACTAGAATACTGATTCATTATTTTTCGAAAATTGTCCTCTCTTCTTGACCTAGAGTAATGTGATAGACAGTTAGTTGAGGACAGTACGCTTGTTTTTACATCCGAGAATGTTCTACGTTTGGCCGTATTAAACTCACTAATAAAATTAATTATTCACAAGTTCGTACAAAATATCCTGAAGTGCGAAATATGTACCAGAAGCCGATCAGTCGTAGTTTTCTTTAGTAAAAATTACAAAAGCGGGTTGCCTGACTTTTGGGGCACTTAACATCCGAAAAGAAGGATATAGTACAAATAATAGGCGTGTCTTACCATTTTCCCAATCATGATGAGTTTTGGCCCCAGGGCAATGTGGAAGCTAAAAGAATACATGAGCCGGATGTAGAAAACAAAGAGCGAAAAAGCCATGCATATTCTCGAGGGATCCATGATTGGGTCGGTGAGGATGTGAAAGGCCTCCGTGTCGTGATTGAGCTGCGAGTCACCTAGCCGTGCCAGGACAATCAATCGCAGTATAAATCCAACTATGTAGAGTATCAGTCCTGTACAGTCCAACTTGTTCCATCCATCAGATATGTAGGTTGAAAAACTGATACCCGACAGCACCGACTACAAACAGAAGAGCGTCTTTTAGATTGTCCGTTTAGGGAAAAATAATAAGCAAGAAATCACTTTAAAGAAGTTCCCCATCGTCCCAGGCTAAAGATTTTCGGAAGAGAATCTTTTAAGGAAGTAAGAGAAATTTCGTGTCTTAGGCAAGAGTGGAGTAGATTTTGGAGCAAACCAGATGCTGTTTGGTTAAAGAGTTTTATCGTACCTGGGCTAATACGTTGTTTGGGAGTTTGTGTCTATGTATCCATGTTTAAGTCTGCCTCGTAAAAACCACTCTTTGCGACGGTTTAAAAGGCGCTGGTCAAGAGAGCCGAGGGAGAGGGAGAACAAGTAACCCAGATGCTTCACTTTTTTCCCGTCTGCCCCTCCCTTAACATATTTACAAACCCACTTCCGCTGTCAGCCAAGAGATGTGACAAATGACCATAACTCCGCTGGTGTGTTGGAGTTTTGACCCGGAAAATAATCTACTTAGGGAGAAACATCTTCTAGTTTAAAAAATGCTAAGTTTTGACTTAAATACTAGACACGCACTAGGATTTCAAATTTTAAATATCAGTGAATAAGCGGACATGCCTATCATTGTGTCAAGAAGGAAATCGTATAAATAGAACTACCTGTATGATAAATTGTTGATAAAGTTATATCTGGAGTTGTATAGAATGTACTAATAGAATGTCTATTCTTCCCACATTTCTGCAATCATGCGATTATACATCAAAGTCAGTATGTACCGCAACTTATTTAGCCCTATTCTGACATAGATATATGATTTTGCATAGCGTAAATACGAATACAAAGGTGAGCCTGAAAATAACAAAGATAAAGGACTTATAAACCCGCAGAAGATAACATTCCTCCCTTTTCTCCAATATCTATTCACATGTCACTCAGGTAAATAGAAGTGGTGTAGACATCCTAGTAATTTTGTGCCTAATGCTTGCAGAAAAATAAGTAAGCTTCTAATTAAACACCAAAAATACACAAAAACAGAAACGAGAATTTATTTTGGTTCTGGAATAGACGCGATGAAACTGACTCATTGCTCTAGTGGGGATTTTGGCTCAAACCATTCAATGTCACGCAATTTGCGGCTTTTACAATCAGTAGTGGTACTAAAGATTAGTCTTAAAAATAGAATCAAAATATGGGAATTTTTAGACTAGCTCTTTAGTTGCAATACAATAGCAACAAGAGTTAAAAATAATGTTACGAGGAATTTTGAGTTGACCCAATCCAACACCAGGGTGGATGATGTATGGTCCACAGCACATACCACGGCTGGTAAGAAGCAAGAAACACACATTTAGCAATATGCGAAATTGATTTAAGATAGTGAAGAGGAACAGTTTCCTTGTTGTTTTAAAAACAACTAACTTTTCAATCTAAAGATATTTGGAAAAATTGAAATCCGAGCGTGGGCTGATGTCTAGAGTTTCCATTTCCAAGTCCATTTTTTGTAATTAAATTGCTGCCCAAGCCAATTTTGACAGTTTTATATCTTAGCAAGGAATAAAAGAATCTACCTTTGGGATACTCCATTTTGAAGAACTGCCCTAGTGAAATTTTCCGCATTTTTAAGCTCACTAACTGCTCATTTCAAGCAATTTAGTTACTACGTTTGGTCACACGGATTACGACTACTCCTCCGCACTTTCTCCGTGGATAAAGTAAAGCTCCCTCTAATACGTTCCTTGGCAAGAGGACGGAGCATCCTCTGTTTTCATTGCCCTTTTGACAATAATTTCCCTGAATAGGCAAAATTATATAATAAATAATGTGTTTCTGACTAGTAAGAAGTCCGCAGTCAGTTTAAATTAAAGCGATCATAACTCTTTATGTACTGCTTACTGTATTTTTCTGTACAGATTATATGCTGATGGTCTCCGCCAGTAAATATGATCGTACTCATTGGGGGTGGTATTGTTTAACCACTTCCCTTCCCATTTGAACCTCCACTAGGACTCACTTTAAATTCATATTCAGTCCTACTTTTATATACATTCGCCTTTTTGAATCAAATTTAGCCAGATCACACATATACTAGACAAACACAACACCATCATGACCATTAGAGTATTTACAAATGTTATCGCAGGTTTTTTGCTCCCTTTGGGAGTCTGCAAAAGTGCATTATAAATAATGCAATCTAGATTGCTGGAGATAGAGTTCTATGTGCGTGACTGCAAAACACAAAGAAAATTAACCCCTTTCAGAGAGGGTGAGGCGTAGTAAGATATGTTTTATTGAATGTACCTTTTAAGCGGAGGCGGTCAGTAAATGAGAACCTTATGGTGGATCGGACGCCATCGACTCTCGAGGAGGAGGGAACGTACCCTGAACCACGATATCTATACCCCCTCCATTCATTTATCCCAACCCAATAAAGCATGTCCTAGTCCAGCTCGTCTAATTGTTCTGAGGGTATGAAGGCCAAAGCGGAACAGAGAAACACCGAGTCCATTGCAGTCTCCATAGGAAGGCTGTCCATTATAACTGTGGCTATTTAAACAAGTTGCCTTTCCAAATTACAAGTGACAGATTTGGTTGACATGAGGTGTCTAAAATACTGACTCGCGTGGAGCCCCTACCTCTTATCTAGTAGAAATTCCACAAATTGACTAGCTAATAGTTTAAATAACCAAACGAAAACTGGTCTTGGAATCCTCTTCTCAAAATGTGCTGAAGGAGCGGTCAAGGTCAGGTTGAATTTGCTCTTTGTATGCTTTGAGGAAAGTGCTCGGTAGTGCTCACAGAATTGTGCTAATAGACGGAATCTGCGTTTTAATTTTCCCGTGAATACATCCAATGTTGGCTTTGATCCTTTTGATCTCCATGGGTAACTGAATTACGCCTTTACATGACATGTCAAGAGTTTCACTTTGCACGTCATAATTTCTTTAACTTAATGAATTCTGGGTCTTGGCTTCAAGTAAATTTGGATTTTATACGGTCAGTGAAAAGCTGAAATAGCGCTATTCAAGTGTATAAGACAAAAAGCTATTGCTAAAGAGTGCGTACGGGTTTAATCATGTATGAAATCATCTGTGTTCCTTAGAAGCTAGTTAGTCTACATACGCATCACATTTATTAAAATATAAAATGGGTGCATAAGAAGGCGAAACACAACAAAAACTGCTACTACTTCCCCCTAAAAGGTTCAGCTAAAAACTTGCTTAAAATAGTTATTTTAAATATGCGACTAAAAGTCACTTGAGACACGATTTAGTAAACTCAAACCAAGGGGCGAGTCAGGCGTTTTACGGCGGACTAGGGGGCAGGACGTTTAACTCATTAACGACGTCTTTCCGGTGTTGGTGGCGATGGAGAGACCAACTCTTCTCCCAAAAACCGACCGGAAACGGCCGATTTCCCGGAATAGAGCAGTGCGCCCAAATATGCTGATTACCGGCCCTGTTCCATTCCTCAAACAGAGCGATAACACCCATAATGGGAGGCTCTGCCATTCAAACCACTTACACAGACACCAACATCTTCAACAGCAACACATTTAAACATGCCCTTAGTAACAATAACACTTACCCAAGCAATCTAAAAGATAAAAAAATGGTCAATGTTAGATTTTGTGCTCAGGATGCATCCACAGCTGAAAGGCAAAATCACTGGTGATCATTTCTGAGGTGCATCAAAGTGAAAATAAAGCGAATGATCAGATATGACTTTGGCCTTTAATGAACCCTTGTGAGATTTCGTCTACTGGGCTATTGAGCAAAGCGTCTGCAGCATTCCCAGACTAAATATACAGAAAAAAAAGCAAAGTTTTATTACCTTGAGAACCGCTTGGTTCTCTGATCACCAATCGTTTAATTTTGATTAATTTATGCAGAGTAGCCAATTACTTCGAAGTGGCTATTCCAAACGAAGGTAACAAAAACAAGTTAACAGTCCAAAATCGTGCAAATCTATGGGTTGGTTAACTCGCCTATTCCAGCTACACATTTCAGAACGATTTGATTTCCGGCCCTTCATTAAGCACTATGAAATTAAGCAGTTATCCACTTCTCATTAAATCCCACTTACAGTAATACAGTTAACTTAAATTCCTTCTCCAAAGTTGAGTTGAAAATTGTACCTGTTTAATTTCTTCAATGAAAAGCGTGATGACCCAGGCAAGGACAATGTACTCCACACCGGTTATTCTGACTTTAAAGTCAACCAAGAGGAGATAGCTGAAGAGGACGAGAAAGAGGACGTAGGAAATCTGGAAGGAGGACAAAATATCATCATTGGTAAATACTGTGCAGAAGTATATCGAGATAGGAATTTTGAAAAGTGGTAGTTTCACCGTGTGGTAGACAAATCGCACGATTGGTGACATGTAGAAGTCCTTTATCTTCACCCAAAATTCCATCGCTCCCACCTGCAGACTTGTCGTTAAGCTGCAATGAGCAAAGCATTCAACCTCAAAATGCCCCCACGGGCCAATTCTGCGTCATATTGCTAATTCTTTCGCCATTTTCGTAAAAGCAGGAGAAGTTAATTGTCACATGAATAATTAACGATTGACAACTGTCAACTTATGTCAGTGCATAATAGTTGGCAGATTTGATTTGGGAAAATAACAAAATAACAAATGAGGAGTCAGATAGGGATCCTAAGTGAAGCCAGAGGAACTTTGATGCACACAGGATTAAAAAGGCCGTGACCGCTAAGCAGTGGCTTTCAATGCTGGTTTATCCTTAAAACAGGTGGATTCATAACCGAATTCAGGGACCTTTATGCAGATTATAAGATCACTGTCTCTCTAAACAAAGCTTTGTTTAAGTGTTTGAACGGGTAAGTAAATAATAATACGTGCTACAGTGAGCATTGTCCCAACTGACCTTCTCTTGACCATCACACGTGATTCAACATCCTCACTCAACTCCTCGTCCTTCTGCTCAGTACTATCATTTGATTCCTATAAGATTACACATTTCGGAAATGAAAGTATCTAAAAAAACAATTAACGGGGCACAAAAGCGGATTGAGGACTCACCTCCCCAGCCTCGCTTTGCTTATCTTCGGGCTCATAAAGGAGCACTTTGGGAATGAACAGTGGCATGGTAAGACCAAACATGAGACCAAACATCATCTAGAAACCATAAAAATAATCTTACTTTGTGTTTTAGTTGTACAATGGCAATTTCAGACTTTACTTAGAAGACGTATTTAAAATAGGGCAAATAGTCTCGACTCGTGGTGGCCATTAGCGGAGCGAATTCTCCGAAATAGTTTCACGTCTCCGATGTACTTCTCTGCGTCGACTTCGCGCACACAGTCATTGTATAAATTTGTGCCTCCAAAATAAGATTTAAAAATACCCTTAAGCCATCAAACTTGTGGGGAATTCGATAAATGAAAGCAGTCAAAAAAGGCCACTTTTTAATGATTAGCCTATTTAACTTAATAAGAGTCGGATGAAAGAACTTCTCCTTTCGGTAGATTTTTTCATTATTTGAATATCAAATTCACATTTGAGTACATTTCTTGTGAATAAGTGTATCTTTTAAATGAATGGTTTGTATGAATTTGAGAAATTTATGCACGTATTCCCCAGAGCTACGCCTTTACTGTCTGTTTATTCAACCATTATTTTCCCTGGGCGTTTGTGTTCGTTATGTTTTGCAAAAAAGAGTCTCGTTCCCCCATTTAGCAACACTCGTTGCCTTTTTACTCCCCGCTTCGGTGGATTGCACCTAGTTGACCCTCGGAGCTTTCAATACACTTTAATGTACCTTTGCAGTTTTACTCCATCCACCTAGGAAATGAACTTTAAAATCTAATATGTCTATGAAGGTCGGTGGATGTGTAGGAACTTTGAGAACGCACCCTGAACATGCTGTTCTTCGAGGAGAGATTGCCTTTCCAGGTGTTAGTCAAAAAGTCCTGGCAACAGGGATGCGCCATAAACTTGATGCTTTGTCCCTCAGCAGCCAGTTTGATGACCGAACTGTGGCCGTAGTAGGCCAACTCGTGGTTGATTATCAACTGAGCACGATGCTCGTCTTCGCGGTAGCACTCATTTAAGACACCCTCAGCTTTTTCCTGAAAACTCCTTTGAGAGAAGCGGCAGAAAAATATTGAAGTTAAATGCTTCATAATTAAACCTTTGCTGACTCGAATCGCATCAGTATGTAGCACAACTACGCGTAAATGATATCTTTTTTTCCACAATGGTTTAGCAGTTTTAGTGCTTTGATCAAATCCTCTAGTGTTGATTGAGTAGGAATTCAAAGCTAATAAATACATACTTGGAGTAATTTTTGTAGTCCTCTTTGTCGGTAAAATCGTCAGTTTTGTTGCTCAAAGCAGAGAGTAGAATTGAGGCCAGTAGAGCTGCCGCTATTGGCTCCTATTAATGCCAGAATGCACGGATGCCTCAAAATTTAAACAAAAACCACCCAAAAGTTTTATCGAAGCTTCCAGGCCTAGTAAAAGGCATCTCATTTTCACATCTGATGCTAATGAGAAAAATTGGCCTCGTTATGTATCCGTAATAAGGTGAGATGCGTACAACTAATAGCTGTATCAATGATAAGTTCCACCTTGCTTATGACTTATGGCACCATCTGCTTGGTGATACGTAAAAAATGACCCTTCAGCATACCTTTTCCATTGTCCAAAATAGCTCGGACATTCTCAGTTTTCCAACGAGGACAGACCAAATTAGGAGTTCCCGAGCTGGTCTATCAAACTGAATCAGTTTTATTCGAGCTTCTTCTAAATGAACATAAAAATCGGTCTTAATGTTTCTCGGTGAATGCAATCATGGTGGCAACAATAGGTCTTTCCAGAGAGTCCTTCCAAATTAGAAATCGAGTAGGCTTGGGAAGGAATTCTACGTTATTAATGAGTGAAAACCATGTGAGACGGCATTTTTAAGGACCAGAAATGATTCAGTCAGCATGCGATTTGTTGTGCCAACATCATGTCATTTACAGCCTGGAAAAAAGGTGTTAAAATTTTATGAATTCGCGAGTATTTACCAAACCGGATGAGTTTGTCTAGCTGTTGTTGTTGTTGCGTTTCGCATTAATTGCTAAACAGGAAGTTGCACTAAAATGCATTTCCAATTTAAAAAGTGCGTTCTTTGGAAAGATTTTTAATAAATTCATATGAATAGGTGCCTTATTTTTAATCATATTTATAGGAACACAAGTGAGCGTACAGTTAAAAAATGTACTCCCACAATCTTGGTTGCTCAAATGAAATGACAAACCTCACCGTTTGCTGCTGTTTTTTCAGGATCCGTGCTGCCACCGCCCATCCCTCCTGCCACAGCAGCCAGTGCTGCAACAGCCCTCAACGTCTGCAGGTTTCCAGGAGCTAGACCTTCTAAGTGTGCGCCACCTTCATGATCCTTAGAGGTCCTTCGTCTAAGAGCTTCAATGAACCGACGCTTTAAGTTCCCCCCAAATCCGACTGCTTCTTCATCTTCCTCTTCCTCATCCTCTTCATCCTCTGACATCGACTGCTGTTGTGTGTGCTGAGACTCATAAGTCGATTCCACTGAATTTTCTCGAAGCATTCGTGGAGATGGGCGTGAGTATTTTTCATCCACCGCAAGCGGAGCGGTTACGGACGACTGGAAGGCTAGATGTTGGCGTGCAAGGAATGCGGGATTTCCATAGTACTGGCCTCTTCCCGATGCTACTTGAATCTCCTTCATTTTTTCAAAGGATATTCGTCGTTTTTGGTAACGGCCGTACTGAATTTTATCTACTTAGGCGTAATAGAAAAATTAAGGTAGCTGAAATTAACTATATTTTTGTAATTGTTTGTGAAAGAGATTACACCTTTACCAAAGTGGTGGTCCCCGAAACATTTAAGGCGGTAAATTCAAAAATGAACACTTCCAGACTTTAATTCCATTGCTTTTGATTATTATTACGGTAACAACAACAAAGAGCATTGACCGCTCAGATGTACCCAAAAACGTGCTGACCGTGGGCAATAATTTGTCCCCAGAAATGGGCGATTACAATTTTATACCAATCCGTAAATAATAAGTTTTTTTGTTCCGATTAAACAAGACGCATGGTTCAAAATAACACGAATTTTAAAAGTGTGTACCTTTTTTCCCAGCATTGAGATGTATAATTACACAGTTTTGTCGAATCTGGTTATCAAGTTGACGATTCTTTTAAACAATAACGACTGCTTACTCCAGTTACGCGGTTTTTAGGAAGCTGCTTCAAATCACTCTACGCGATAAACGAAATATAAGCCTGGACTATCGGAATGATGAAAATGCCCCTTTTATTACGTACATTGTTGCAGATTAATCAAAGATAATTAGAAGCTGGAACTTATCTCTATGAGTCTGCGTATTTGGTTAAACTGACACATATAACCACGTCGCATATATGTGACGCTACGACTCTCCTCTGAGCCTTTACAACAAAAGGCTGGCTCATATGCCAACCAATTTTACGAATTCTGGCACAGAAAGGTTAAATCAGTTTTTATAGTTACGCTTGTGGATGTTACGTTAAACATAAAAGAAGATTTTGTAGTCTCTAATCCAGCGTCACATACATGTACCAGTTTACAAAATTGCTCATTTCACCTGCAACGCTATGTATGCAACCTGAAAAACCATTCACCACTGGCGCAACTTTAAAATAAATGCTGAACAACAAAATTACTAACCAAGTCCTATGTGGGTTACAGCAAATCGACTTCTCTTAACCTTCACCTCCTCTTCCACCTCGTACTCTCCATCCGAGGGAATGGAATCAGGCTGACGAGCAGCCCAACTTTGAGCTTCCCCTGAACTGACCATTTGAATTGACTCTCCTGTGGTATACTTCTGCTCCATACTCAAAGTGGTAGTTCTCGTGGAACTGCGTTGCATACCCCTGGGCGTGGCACTGTCAGCAGTGTCAAAGCATGGCGAACTTTGCACCTCGTTATCCTTTGTAAAGGAGAAAAGGAGGTGGGAGGCCGACGCATTGGGATTGTTTTCTGCCTCGCCTTTCTCCTGCTTCAAAAGTGATGCTGCCTTATACTTCACCTTGGGATCTAGAAGGCAATTGAAGCAGTTTTTAGAGAGGAAAAATAGCAGTACAGAAAGGCATTGTCCCAAATCCAAGCAGTTTCTCATGCTTCACATGCTAGGGGTATATCCGCATGGCAAATTCGGGTTCCATGCTTCGAGAAATCTACTTCACATGCAGCTGGGAATGGCGCGCCTTTTTGACATCTCTTACGTTCATCGAAAAAATCAATAAAGGAGACGGGCTCGTGGAGACCCAGGACGTTGGGACATATCGATATGGCCTTGAATTTGTGAGGCGGATCCACATCTTGTGTGCTGGTTGCCCCGACACCACCACCACCACCGCCGCCAGGATTCCGATTGTTATGGTGGGTTCTGGGTGGACCCTTGGAAAACTTGTTCGGGAGAACTGCTATTAATTGTAGGGAGGAGAAGGTAGAAGAAAATAAGGGATGGAAACAAGTTCTCACAATCTTTAATGCGAACCATGCATGATAGCGAACAAGATGCTGAATGATGCCCACTTTGCAAAACATGAAAAGATACGTAATTCCTGATTAACAATCGGTTGAAGAACTATTCCTTAACGATGTCTAAGAGACAGGGGAGGATAAACACCTTATAGCCTGTGACCTTGCGTAATATCCCTCTAAGGGATTTGGAAGTCCCACGCTTACTCGCCATTTCATGGTTCATTAAATGCAAGCACGTGTCGAATTGAAAGGAAACTCTCAATGTTCTTACGGGAGGGTGAAGTTGCTATACCATCCGAACTAATCACACTAACATAGCACAAAAACTACTACACCCCAAGCTTTTTGAAATTTCTGTGTCTTCACTGTCAATGGGTCACTTGCTTGCCTACATAAACTTGTTCACTGTGTAAACAGGAAGCTACAATTCCCATTTGCATTTAAGATTACATTCGAAGTATTGCAAGTAAAAGCACCGAGATGTTGGTGATTGGTGTTGGAGCAAGGCTGATTTCCATGGTAAAACAGACAATCGACCAAACAATCAAATGTAAAAGAGCTTTTAGTTTAATAAACAACCAATGAGTTGACAGTATTCTTCACTTTTTTTATGTTTTTGCCAAATTGATTGGCAGTAAAAGTTAAAACGGAATATCCCACCAAACCTGACAAACATAATTGGTCGATGTCAAGCAAATTTCGCACTGATTATTATTTTTATCCATTAAGCCAAAATACACTCTGAAATTCATTTTAAAAATAGCACAAAAATTAGCTACCTGAAGCGCCTCTTAGATTACCTCTTAGTATGTGCCTTTGTTAGCCCTTTTTGCTCTCTATCTTGAAAGTAGGATAAGTTGACTTGGCGTTAGGCTGGTTCTAAGAAGGAGTGCTTTTACTGACAGGATGGAAAAAGGCGCTAGACCGGTTTCAGAGAAAATTATTTTTAAGATCCATGGAATTACGAATGGTCTGCAACTGCGTGTAGCATCACTTGTCATTTGGCAATGGACATAATGGATGCCCTTCAGGCCTCACGGCAGGCCCATCATTGTCAGACTGTTGTTGGTGCTAAAGCCAAACACAACCTTTGCTAGCCTTCACTGTCGCCATGGAACACGAATGCACTTTTCCCTGTCTTAGGTGTTAAGGCAATTGAAGCACGACGGATTCTGGCGGAGCACTTAGGCTTGATATACCTTCACTTGTGGCAGGAGTCAGAAAAATTGGGAAAAACCTTGCCTCATGGAGTATATCTGAAGAAAAAATTGCAAAATTCTATGTTTGGGGTAAAATTCTTCTTAAGATAAAATGGATCTTTGCTAATGCCTATCAAATGTAGTACTAAAGAGAGGCAATTTCTATTTCAAAATGTGTTTCCTTGAACTTGACTTTTTTACTGAGTCTGTTTTAGACCGTTTATGACGTAAACTACTCCTTCTGCAGAAAATTTGGTCCAGCTTTCCTATTCAAGGTATGTTCGGAAATACAAACACATGCTTTACTACGATTGGACAAATAATATCCTACACTCCCAAATTCACGCCAAATTGTTAATCAAACTAGCAAGTGCTGAGAGGGAGGTTGGGATTTCTTCCTCTGAGGCCACTACCAATGCATTCATCCATGGATGGAATAAGGATTCACAGATTACTCTTCCATTGCCTCAAAGCTCCAACCAGAAAATGAAAAGGGATTGGGGAAGGATCGAGGATGCCAGCAACAATGCACCAAAACTTCTCACCGGTAAGCAGTTAACTTTGAACTTACTGGCTGCCACTAGAGTAATTCGCCACAAAGAAAAGGGAAATGGTATTTTTAAATAGTGTAAATGACCATCAGTAAAAAGTAAACAAACAGCAGAAATGTGAGTGCGAAGTGGAAGGATTAACGTCTGGCAGGCATGACATGGTCAACTGGGAAATGAAGTCTGCATAAAATATGGGTTTCGAGGCAATCGAATGAGAACTAGGACTTACAGATCTCTGAAAATGGGACAACCAAAAGAGATTGGTAAGCAAACGTTTAAATGCTGCGAATAGTTGTTAATCAACAAAGCACATCGCCCCTTTCCCCCAAAGTCAACAACGACTCGACGTTTTATGGAGTTAGCTTAGGCGTAAGTCATGTTTGGCGTGCTTTGTTCATGCATGGGATGAAAGACAATATTTGAGGGCAAGCTAAGCTGAGCTGGGTTTGTTTGAAGCGATACATAGATCTACACTGAAAGCATCCAGCGTTAGTCAGGGGTCAATAATGCCTACTTACCCTCCTCTAAATGGCAATAACAACAGCAGTGGTCAGACACACAAGTAAGATTTCCTCCACCATTAGAATATTAATTGAGCGAAAGTGATTAGTCATGCTAATGTAAACTTGCTTGACATTTGGACAGTTTACACTATTCCCTTCACAGTCTCATAATTTCTACTTCTAAAAAGGCTAGAATACTTGAAATCCTTAACGCCAGTGTTATATTTTGAGGCAGGAAACAGTTGCTTTTAACATGTATTTGATGTATAAGTACTTATTTTTGTATAGTAAATGACGATGAAGAGACCTGATATTCTCACCTGCCAAGTCAGACTTCTCCGGAGCCAGCTTTTGTTGAAACTCCTTGCTCAAGTAGAGCGGATGATAGAAGTCGCCGACCAGCGATTTAATTACTTTTCCAACATCGCGAAGGGTAACCTTTGAGGCCTGCTAAATGGTATGAGAAGTGATGGCTCATCTTTTTTTCACCTTATGAGACACTAAGAAAGTCGTCGCACTGTAGTGCTCTTGACTAGATCAATCGTTTTACGGAAGACTGTTTTACGGTTCCACAAGGAATAACAGTAAGTAAACTAGCAATTGAGGGTTATTTGTTCTGTTAGGCAAAACGGCATAAGGCGTGGTTTATGAGAGTTTATTGCTGAAGAATAATACAAATTCCTACGATTCTAATTGCATAACTGTTCCTATGTGATTAGAGGATGCATCTTTTGAGTCGTTACGTAGAGGCGGCTAGTTAGGGGGTGGTATAAAGAACTTTATTGGCTAAAATGCACTACTTATTAAGCTACTTATTCATGGATATTCCTAACGCGCAAAATCAAAACCGACATGATACGGGGTCGAAACATTTGTTGCCTTCAACTTTTCGTCCAGAAAATTGGACGTCAAAGCATCCATAAACTAAATGAACTCATACATTTTTATCAACCTTGGTTATTTTAAGGGCGCCAATTCACTCTACGCCGTTGGAATAGTGCGCGGTGATTTTCTCAAAATCCCTTCCTTTGGTGCATTTTCAAGTGACTACACAAGCACTCCTAATTTGGTGCTGCTAACACAAGGAGGTCTAATGACGGAGCAGCGGAACAGCTAAACGTGCACGACAAAGGTGCAGTCAAATATTGCCATATAAAAAGGGGAAGAATTGAACTTACTCGATGCGAACGATGATACTCCCACATTTTGTTAAAAATGGCCACTTTCGAGCTCTAAAAGTAGTTTAAGTGATGCAAAAAAGAAAGCATTACCTACCATATTCTTGAGTTGGTCTGTGTAGAGCCTTTCAAGCATGTAGACAGTGAGGAACTCCTCCAAACTGAAACCCTGCTCAAGAAAGATTTTCACAAAGTCGTGTCGATCTCCCATCAGCGCCTGATACATGTAGTCGTTAAGCTGACCTTTCTACAAAGGTAGACGTGAAGCTGTGGCGGAGAACAATGGTAAATCACCTTCCACCGTTTGTTTTCAAGGAAAATTTTCTCCCTGGCTATGTCGGCCCGATTTAGGGTCAGGGTTATTTCCAACTGTTCCAGGTTAAGCTGATCTGGTGGTGTTGAAGTGCCAGCTGCAATGTAGCAACGGATTGGGTTGCGATATAACATCATTTAAAATAGTTTTTTGCATCCAGGAAACACTCCACTTATCGATGAATACCATTTTTGCACCTAAAACTACTTAAACTGAATAAAAGTAGGTAGAAAAGCATTTGATATACCCTTTCGATCAGTAAACACAGGTTAAAGCATGTTTTCTCCTGCTTAAACCCACACTACTGGGTGTCATTATCCTTCTGAAATGTATACAAATTAGGTAAATTAGTGAATAAGTAATAACAAAGCTCGGGTGTATTCAAAGATGTGAACAAGTTTGATATTTCGGGTTAGTAATTAAGACGATTAAAGAAAGTTCAAAAGAACTGTAAGAAGGAGAAGCTTTGCATCCGTCAGAGGATAACAATTCTTCCATAATTATTGTTTGGCTATTTTCCGCAAGGCAAAAATGCTTTAGCCAAGCCAAGAAAGGACACTGATATCTTTAATCAACTGATGGTAGCGAATAGTCCCTTTTCACAACATCTGCAACACGCGCACAAACACCCACACCAAAAGGCCGTTTTGTTAGACCCCGTCACCGTCTAAACTTAGCCAGACACCATGGGTTAAGCGTAGGTGCATGGATGTTTCACCCCGGTAAAGCCTATTTTCTATTCCTGGTATTTGGATCACGCTTGTCTGTCTATGCCTCCGTCTGCCGTCTCTCTATGAGTGTCTGAGCCATGTAGGGGTATCGCTTCGAAATCACCACCATCTCGAGTTAATTCTGAGCTTCTCTATGCATAAACGTAATGATTAATTCTGCTCCTGTGCGCAGTTTAGGCTAGTTTTCTTCTTTTTTGGAATTATCTTTATCAGGAAGAAAACATAGAGTTTTGACCACTCTCTGGGACAGATAAACCGTATGCATATATATATTCTTAAAATCATTTTCCCTCAAAATTCAAAGTGACGTATCTCTCTCCGCCACGCAACACTAATCACTATCACTACCAATCTAAAAGACTGTAGTAATATATGAAAAATTAACATTAAAAAAGCGAAATGTGAGAGGGAATGCGCATCTTTGTCACACATTTCTTAAAAACTTTAAGGGAGCAAAAGAATAAATTGGCAGAGATGTTCCTATAGAAAAGTAAAACTTTTCCATACCACAGAAGCTCATTAACTCGTTGCCGGTTTTTCAGCTTAGTTGGCCAATTTTTGGCCGGATTAAGGAATAGTATTAATTCTGATAAATTCACGCTGCTGCTTCATGCGCAAAATGTGTGTCGAATTTTTAGCTTAGTCGCCTATTCGCAGTGATTTTTAAGCGCCAAATAATTGGTCGTCATCATTTTCCTACCGCTAGCCAGAAGAGAGGATATCATGTAGCCGTCTAGATCGGAATCCTCTTCCATGTCAAAGACGAGCACGAGGGAGACGTAATCGGTTATTATCTCCGCCAGCATGGAAACTTCTTCTGCAAAGTTATAGTAGTCGGGATGCATTTCACGCAGAAATTGTTCCATCACAGAACCTAATCTGAAATACGGATGGCCAAGTCAGTTGCAACTGCTTGCGCTCGTTGTAAGCGGTAAGATTAAAATAACAAAAGATAATGGAAAACGTGATGCATATATCGCCAAAAACCGTTCATTTAAAGATTTTAAACTGACCTTGTTTCTAAAGAAATTGCCTCCTTGTCCTCCAGAATTTCTTCTGTCTCCATTTTCGTGGCTGCCTCTAGACCAAAGGCAATAACGTCTGCAGCACCAGACGTACCCTGAAAAACAGTGGAGTCGTGCAGGCCATCAGTATTTTATAGCCAGATTATTACTTGTTTGAATTAAATGTGCAGCCAGTTTGAGACCTTAAATAATTTTTTGAGTGAATGGAAAACATGTGCCGAAAGGGCACTCCCCAGCGCACATCCATTCCCTCATCTAAACATCGGAGACTTCAATTTCGTGTGCACAGCATCTATTTATTTGCCATTAAAGACTGACATCGCCTAGAGTAAACTCCTTCCTGATTTTATGAAGGACTTTGCAGGAAACTTCCCCACAATTTTGGAAGAAAATGGGTGCCATTCATATCTCAGTCATCTCACATCTATGGAGTGGTATATAGGGAACAGTATTTATGTAGTATGGAAAAGTATGCAAACCCAGTTTAGGTCAACATTTAATTAACTTCTAGTCGGCAACGTGGCAATCATAGCAGAAAAAATTTAATGATTCAATGCACAACTTTTGTGTAAACGGATCATTTTTAGCATGCTTGGCCAGTGGCGTCGGCACTATTGCAATCTCTCGATTTCAGATGATAGAGGAATTAAAAGTCATTTATCCCTGAAAGGCGTATTCCAACAAATCACACAGTGACGCCGGACTATTCGTGATTAGGTCTACCAGATACAAGCGGCAGGGCATTTCGGCGTCGACACCAAAGGCGTACATATATTATTGTGCCCTGGAAATGCATGCAGGGGAGTGGACTATTTACTAGCCAACCGCAAATTTTAGCTCACGTGTGCATCGTTTGATGTAATGCGAACTATTTCACTTCTACAGTAACCACTTTAACATGCTCATTTTTGATAAGCCTAGTGTGTGATGGCTGGCCAAAATTTGCGTTCATCAAGATAAGGTACACTCATAAAAGCCTATTGTAGTTGTTAGGATATTACTTCATTACACATGACCGCAAGTGCACCTTTTGCCAGAAACATTTGCGGAAATTTCACCGCAATATTACAAGGGAGTTCGAATTACCTTTGCCACCACCATAGGACACTGATTTTGCATGATTGAGCAGTAGACCTGTCGCAGAGTAAACCTATCTCCACCGATGACGAGACCGCACATGGGGATCCGGATATCCTCCCCTGAAGCATTATTGCCACCACCCCCACCTGCACTGCCATCACCGCCAGCGCCACTGCCTCCGCTCTTGAACTTTGAACTCGATCGGGAAAGTGATCGACCTTCAGTCTTCTCACTAGCCTGGTGTCTTAACGTAGATTTACGTTTGAGCGTTGTGGCGTAGTCCTCCTCGGGTTCAGCGGTTGATATAGTGGTAGTTTTGCCCACCCCACCGCTTTGCGAAAGACGGGCTGCGGAAGGCGGAGGGTCTGCTTCGGGTGTGGAGGTACTCCACAGCGAGATGCAGCGCTCGAAACGCGCCCGCATTCCAGCCTCACGGCCCTTAGTATGGTCGGTCTTGGCAGTCTCCGCAAAAATGAAGTAGTTATGGTTGGGGTCAAGCGCCAACTCCTCCACGTCGGTGCGCTTCTGGGTGCTACTTGCAGCGGTAGCATTGGCAGTGGCGGTCTCGGTGGTTGAACTCTGCTCCGCGTCTGAATCCTTATCCTCCTCAGACTGGTAAACCGCTGTGCCCTAAACAGGGCAACAAAGTGACAGCGTTAATTTCAAGAATCTTTTGTTCAATAAAAACACATTTGAAAGCTCATAAAATTTTGCCTTACTTCCATAGCATTAATGTAAATTTTGTGCTTGAGGCTAAAGCTTTTGCTGGCTTCTACGTAATTACGGCAATCTAATTTTTCCATCTTAACGGGGATGTTTGTGTACCATACACTGGTCACGACGATCTAGCAAGAAGTGATTGGATCAATACAATTGTTTTTCTAAAAAGAAATGGAATTTTTCCCATAATATGAAAAAACACATAAATTAGGCTTCAGCATTTTGGTTTAAATAAGTGCAATACTTTAATTGTTTTAACCCTCTATTTTGGCAACAGAACACTTAGGTTCTCACCACTGTACATCCGCCTGGTGGGCCGGTCTTCGGACCTTGTTAGTAGCCATCAAAACTGCTGTGCATCCATCGTACATATTTTGCCCGAGTATTATGTCTTCTTGCTGCTTCATAGAAATGCAATAGATTCATCTTTGTTTTCCAGTGATATCATTTCTTAATTGAATGAAATGGCTTTAAAATATTATGCACTAATGAGGATTTAAATAATTATTTTCGATTTAGGACTACTTAATGAGAATCTATATGGGGTTTTACAGGCTTGTGAAAAGTCGTGGTTGAGTTTACGGACAATGAGCTCCTTTGACTCCTTTGTCATAGCAAAAATGGTGTAGCTCGGGTGCAAATGGTAGTTGTACTTTACTCAGACTGCTGCCAAATTCACGTGGGCCCCTAAACCGTCTCATCAACTATTGACAAAGCCTTGAAAAAATGCTGAGTATCCAGCTCTTGGGTCTCGGCTTTTGAGGCATTACGCATGTGTTTAAACTTTGTCATCCTTTTATTTTGAAAACTGTTCGTTCGATTAAGCATTGTGAATTTGATCTATGAATTCAAGAACTAGCTAAATCAGGGGCAAATACTGGAAACGAAGCGTCATGCATTTGACTCATACTGGCGGAGTTTGTGTTCCAGAAAGGGCATGAGCTTGGGACAAAACGCTGACTATTCAATGTATATTTTAGCAAAATAGAGTGTTTGCCCTTTTTAGAACAGTACAGCACAGAACAGCTTGCAGCCACTTTTTGAATGACTGATATGTCTTGTGCGAAAAAAAGGACAACGGAGAAGAACAAAGAAGCAAACTACTGCATTCATCAAAGCAAAGACCGTGTAACCTAGTCCAGTCGGATCACACTGCAGGATTGATTTTAACCCCTTTTAATTCAAAATTATATTGCCTTAATAGAAACCGAAAATTGAAATATGACTCTTAACCCCTATTCACAGTAGGGTATCAAAAGTGCCCTAACTTAGGTGAAGAAGTCGAGCTAAGCGACCTAATTGAGATAGATATGCTATTCGCAAATGATCACAAAACACACACCACTTGTTCGGTTTTTTGCACATAAAGTGTGTTTTGGCATGCCAACCACTATGGAGGCAATATGAGATGAAATTTTGGAGAGTGAAATTTTAATACGACTATGCATGTGTTTGTGTACAACTCACCCGTTTAGTAATTTGTCATACGTACAGGTAAGTAACTGCAGCATTCAATTTTGCAATTGTTTCAAACGACCATTCTTCATGTTACAATTGACGACCGATTGGTATTGTGTAAGCATGCAATACCAAGCTAATCCAGATTAGGCTTGAGTAGGCGATCGAGAAAACAGATAGCGTAATCCTAAGAGAATAGTGGCGATACCTTCATATTGCATTAGGAGTAACTGACACACTTGACCGAGGGAGGGAGAGACAGATGATGGAAGTAATGCAGGGGTACAAATTAATAGTAGAAGGAAAGCGAAAAGCACCGAAGTGATGTTATGCAGCCGGGCAGGTAAGTGGGTGGGGTGGAGGGCCTGATTAAATATTTATGTTGACGTTCCACCTGCCAGGACATAAACACACAAAAGGAAGATTTGTTTGCGCGGGACATGACCACCACAAGCCTCTGGCCACCACGTGGTGGTTAATGCTGATAGCGATTTTGCTGCCGCTGCTACTGCCGCCTATGGCAAATATTCACCCCTAATGAGGCAGGATGAATGTGCACTTATGCCTCGCAGAAATGTACCCACTTCACCCGATATTCGCATACACAAGAAGTATTTGATTTTTACCAACAGCCTCAAAGAGCTGTTGCCCCTTCGTTTCCTCTTAGCAGATTGATGGAATCATCGTAAGAACGACGACCATCCTGTAACAATAAAACGATTGAGGAAGGCAAATTTCCTCACTGTTACCTCCTCATATCAACGCGATTTGTGCTGATCCACATAATTACAGCCCACATCAACTGTAAATCATCTTAATTTATGTCCTCTAAAAGTGATTATCTGCTATGGAGTAAAATCAAATTATGTTCCGACGTACTTTTATGGACTTCAGAGCCGTTTCACACATTCCCTTGTGGAGATTTAATAGTGTTGTTTAACTGCGTGTTTAATTACGCGGACGTCTCAATCCTGTAAGTGGCATAGCCTTCTGGTCATGGTAGTAGCCCCTCAACTTTCCCACATTACATTGACTTGCTTGGCACTTCAGAACGGACCTGCGACCTTACATTCCTTTCATTTTAAATCGTCATCTTATTTTATTTAGTCTCACGGTCCCTGATACTATTAAGTGGTGATATTAATACAAATTTCGTTTCAGGGGTGGTGGCTGCAAGAGATGTTTGCACAGATTTTAATCAAACGATTATGGACACTAGACTTGGCTACCCATTTAATAAACGCGGCGTTAAACAAATTCGTTAAAGTGACTTTTGCAGTTTACTGTATCATCAGATTTGGGGTAGCCTGTTGTAGGAGAGCCTTAGCCCCTCGAAAGGACAAGCCATCCACCACTAGGAGAGCTGGTTTTTTTAAAAATAACTAGCGAATCAGTTTCTTCTTCCGAAAAAAGTGTGTGAAATGCAACTTGATAGCTCTTTTGTCCTTCGTTTATACAAAATTAGTACTTCATGCCAATTTTCAGCATTTCAGTAGCACTTTCATTTCGGTGTTTTATCACAAAATAATAGCGGAAGTTGCTCTTATTTCTGTATCATTTTTGTGCGAGACGATTGGGAAGCTTCGTTTCCTGAGTTGGATTGTTCCATTTAAAAAAACTTCGGTAGAGGCTGGTCCGCCAGAGGAAATTCAGCTTAAAACGGCCGCTGTGAGGCCCCACTACCGGCAGGAAGGCGATTTGTGTTTACACGCAACGCGAAACGGAACAATTTAATGGAATTGTTTTTATTAGGCGGGTAAACCACCATCAATCAAGGCTATGGGATATGTTACTTTTGCAACTCCTTAACAAGATAATTCTGGAACAGTCAATCTTGTTACGGCTTAGTAATTATGTTCAGGTTTGCTAATATGGATGCATCTGCTAGAGATGGCTGGGAGTTACTTATCTAAACCTGAATTTCTCCACCTCAAAGGCCCCTACGATGAAGAGGGTCTTTCCCAAAGATGCAGTTGGCGCTATTGTCTTTTGATCAACTTCCCCAACATCTGTCTTTTGTCTACCACATGGTCACAAGACACGAGGAATTGGTGGTTGGTATTTCAAGAGTTATAAGTTAATTTACCAGATCTTTAAAACGTGGTCTATCAATTCTCAAAGGTTTTAGAAGACCTACTTACCTCTTATCTTAAAGTTTTTAGGCTCGAAACAATGGTAGATAAGATTGTTCATCGACACAAATGACTGGCCTTTTGCAGGCGCTCTAATTGTCTCCTGCTGATCATCCCTATTCTGTTTATTCTGCTAGCACCTCGAAACGTATGTCCACTTAGCTCATTGCGAACTCAGGTGGAAAAAGCTCCTCAGGAAGTAAATGTTTGAGCAAATCACGGCATTGAGTTCATGTTACGCATATTTGCATGGATAGTCAATTTTCGGCATGACATGTAGGGTGTTTACTTGTGTTCGAGAAAGCAGATTATCTGCAGCAAGACTCCAGTTGATTACACTAATAAGAGATTGTGAAGCATAACCCTGCACCATTCGGTGTTTTAATGCATGAAGGGGCAACTATCAGTGAATAATTCATTGGCCGGAAACCGAGCAGCTAATATAACGGTCTTATCATATCTCATGGATTGTAACTTATTACCTGAAAAATGTTGACGGAATTCGAACTGGCTGTGACTTTAAGTCTCTTTTTGATCAAGCTTGAGAGGGCGGATTAACTATTCATTTGAGCTGATGCTTGATCAAGTGGGAGACGAGAGTATCAGGCCGAGTCAACTCAATAAAGCTAGCCATCTAGGCATTCTGGGAGCGACCGTAATCGCCTCAATCAATAGGTCCTGATGAATAATGCAGAATAAAGTGGATGCAATCCCACGACCAGCTTATTATCTGGGCATGGGTCAGGGTCAGAATTTTCCAGCCTCCTTGATAAGTAATAAACATTGCGTATCCATATGGATTTCCAGTGAACTTTTCTCCCACAAATCTTCTTAGCTTTATTTTTTCATGCTCTTTGCAATGGCTCCTTTTTTGAAGACTGACTTAGGAATTTTGAATTATTTTGCTGCAGTTTAGCGCCACCCATAGTTTACCACCCACTGTAAACGACTTATAGGTATTCATTCATGAAATTTATTTTCTCTTAAATAAAGAGAAAAAACATTTTGTTTGAGCTCTGTGCCTTTATGATCACCTTGGAGGATAATAAGACCTGTTGAATAAGACTTACGACTTATTGCCAAACCATATAATGACTAACATTTTCCAAACTTTGAGGCATCTTTTACCAGCAATTTGTTTGGTTTATTCATTAAAGGTGTCAAAAACAATTTATTGAGTTTAAACAGAAACAAGCCTTGAATGAACTCATGACTCTTGGGTACGCTAACCTCCGACTCTAACGAGGACTTGAAGTAGTTCTCCTGGAAAACACGGCTTATAAAGGTGTAGACCACGGTTTCAATTTTACACAAACCCCTGTACCACTCATTAAATAGGGCTTCTCCTATAGCCCTTCATATTTGCACTAGTCATGTCCTGCATGAGATGCCTATTTAGGAACACACGGTATTTACTTCAACAATGGGATGGATTTAGGAGATAAACGAATGATGATATCTCCCCTGCATATCTCTCACTATTCATGAGCAATTGGATGCAAGTCCTGCAAGATTTTAGCTACTCCAGAAAATCTTGCTTTAGTGCTACACTAAGAACTCGGGCCAATGGGCAATGATTTGCCAACGATGTAAATCCAAGCTGTAAAGGTTGCGACATCGAAGTTGAATACTTGTTCCACCAGTCGCCAGGCATATATGCATTACGTGAATTATGACGACAAGCGGCGTTCAGGAGTACGGTATTCGAGGAAGTAAAAATAACGAACAGACCTCTTCGAGAGCAGCCTCCAAAATGTCGTTCTTCTTGACGCAACCCCAACTGGAAATACCGAAGGCGAGCATTCGATTGCCACCGTATGCATCCGTATAATCCCTCACAGCCTCACCAGCAAGTTTCATGATTCCCAGTTGGAACCCTCCTGTCACTATCCAACAACCTAAATGTAAGGGAAAAACACATTTATGTCCAGTTTTGGGGGTTTTTTAACCAAGCGTCCTTTCTTAAGTCATTGAATAGCCTATTCGAGCAGGAGGATGATGAAGAATATTATTCCGCACTGGAAAGTGTAATGTTTTATGTTGACTGCATCATCTTGCACCTAATATGATCTGTATAAATCACCGCTTTATGCTCCGCAATTTTCCTCGGTCTTAGTTTTATGGAGTGTCGTGAGATATCATCTGTAGGATGGAGCCAAGTAGTTCAACACATGCCAAGTGCACAAATGGACTTTGGGGCGCTAACACCCAGGAGCACATTTTTGCGGAATGTTTGAAATAGTTTTGCGTGTGTTCTTGGTGATAAAACTCCCACCCTAGTCACTATAAATAAGATTTATTTATTTTTAGAATTCCAGGAATATCACTTAAGTTTTGCAACAGCCCATTCACTTATTTCTTGAGTGAAATGCTCAAAAAAACGATTCACTATCTAATACAGGGTATCAGCTTAACATTCGGCTCATAGTCACGGAAAGTACACTTTGATGAAGATATTTTCTTTTAAAAAATAGTTGTTATGCCTACATGGCATTCGTACCACGAAGTGATTGTTATTTTCCCTAAGAAAATGCCTAAAAGTCGCTCTGTGCAGAGTCCCTACGAAAAATTAAACAGTCTCGATTAAAGTGAGTCAGTAAACAATTGTAAATGAAGCACTCATTAAAGACCTTTAACCTAGATCGCTACACTTCAGCGAAGTAGGCTATATATCCTACAACTTCACGGCTGCAGTTAGTTCCTCTTTTCCGAGATAGCCAACGGCAATTTCGATGCTGCGTCTACGAAGAAGTCGTTTGCGTGGCTTTCACAATTATCAATCACGCACAATAAAATTCCTTTCCAAATAAATGTGTATAAACAAAGTCCTCAAAGGACTCAAAAATAATTCTCTGTGGAAAGTGCGCAAATGTTTCTACTGTTTAATTTAAGGTGTATTTTGGAACGCTTTCACGAGCGATCTGAATTAATTTTTGACCGAAATGGAACTAGCCTTAATGGCTATTTTCTGCTCGAGCCGTGTGAAACACAGGTTTGCATGCTGTCTGTGGCAAATTAATGCTACTACGGACATAATCTCGGTGCGATTTTTTCCACTCTTTGTAACTGGACTTTTGCAGGATGAAAAATGACATTTTTTTGTCACGGAGTGTAAATAAGACTTACTGCAGCGGATAAGTACCATTAATATCTTGTGAAACAAAAATGATCTCTATTTAAATATTGTAATATACTTGCAACATAAATGTTGCATGAAACATTTTTAACATAAAGGGAAAAATAAATGACGCACCACTATCGGCAGCTTTCCAGAGACCCTTTTTGAAAATCATTTTGAGTTTTCTCTTCTTCTCAAAATCAGTTCCAAAAACTGTTATGATGAGAGTGGGTGGTTTTAGGCTCCACCGGCGTTGTAAAAGATCCCTGATTGCACTGTCCGACATGCTTGACGACAGTTTGGCAAACTATAAATGCAAAGCTGATCAAAGTCAGGTCAAACCCATTTTTTGTAGGTTAACAAATCAAAATGTGTAATACAGCAAAGTAGGGCCCTCAAATTAAATATCTCTGCTTTTGTGTTCTTTAAAACCTTCATTCTGGAGTATTCTTCCTTACTTACGAATTGCTATTAAGCACTTGGAATTTCCCTACCGAAATAACCACTTCATACTCTTTAAAATAAGCCCCAAAGAATCGACCGTATGGGTCTGCAAATATCTTGTAAGAAGGGAAAAGAAACTACAAATGGTAAAAAGTGCCTTGTAAAAAATACTACGTTTGATAAGCTCTTTCGTTTAATTCGGCAAAGTAATCCAATTCGCAGTAACGGAGGTGAATGAAAACATGCGAATATTTATGTAATTTTAGTTGTGCTGATGGGAAGAACACTGCGACTGCATTTTTATAGCTTTCACTAGCCTCAAATAAAAACCGCATACGTGTAACATAAAGCCATGAGGCGACAACACCTGCTTTTTACAAAAAGCCTCTCTACAATTGTTTTAAATAACAAGAAGAAGCTTTTGCTTTATTTACTTAAACTTCCCCATCCACTACTCCACCTTAAATCATTTCAGTTAATGAAGGGATGAGAAAGGAAGAGAAGGGAGAGCATTTTAGGTGGCAAAAATTAACAATTCATAATTTCGAAAATTTCTTTTTCTCTAATTTAACAGCATTTTATCTTGGATTGCTTCTGTCGCGTGAGGAAACGATGTTAAAAGGAAGTCGACCGCGTGATTTATGCACGACTCACTGTGAGACAACAGTAAAAAATACAAATTGTATCAAATTGTTGCGAAAGTTGTTCTTTGCATCTTTGTTTCAACTATCATTTTAATTGATCCTCCGGTTGAAAAGCTCCTTGTAAATATGAAAAGTAACAGAAGGTCACACAGATGGGTTTGTATCTTTAATTCCACTTCTTGGATCAGATAACTTTAAACTACTGTTCCTACCACTTTTTTAAAAACTCTAGTGCAAAATAAGTTTGGATATTCTTGGTGGATTTTATACCAAATAAATATAAGTATTCAATTAATAAATGGTTTAAAGTTTTCACTCCCTAAAACAGCTGGACCTAATTAGAACCAATTTTAGGCATAATGTCACATAATACATCACAAAATATCAGAAAAAAGCATAAAATTGGAGGTCCTTGATACTGGAATCCTCATAAGGGTAATTTGCTCCTGCTTAATTAACAACTTATTTTAAACTATGCATGCACTTGCCAAAAAATTACTAATGACAGTTAACACGCTGAATTACAAAAACAGTGGAAAATAAACACAAATCGAAAGGACGATTTTTTTGGAAATGACGAATCTTAGCAACTATTTACATATAGTATGAGGGATATGCAAGCATTATTGGAGAAGAAAACATCCAATGTTTTGACTCACTCTTGCAGTTTGATTTAATCCAGTGAACTCAATTTCCCCGTGGAAACGATGGACTTGCGAGGGTCTTCGAATGGATGCACTGGGCAGCAATGCGTGCGGTGAGTGCGCTGTGCTGGCGGAAGATTCATTGACAGTAGACCCAACTCGACTTTGCCGATGTTGGATCGTTGACATCTGCCTTAGCAGGGAGCCACCTACGCCACCACCTCCACCTGAATCTGTCATTATTTCTTTTAAGTATCTGCTTCTAGGATCCTATTTGTTTTGCTACTCTGAAGCATAAGTCATGAATGAGTTCTTTGATTTCTCCTTGCTCACCGTAATACCAACAGATGACTTTTCGGCGTCCTAATTGCATCGTTGTAGCGCAACCATCTCTCTCTTCTATTGGCTTTGCTTGTGGCCAATCAACACAGAAAAGATCGAAAACAGCCAATGACTTTTTAATCTAACCACACCCATTGTTTTGATTGGCTGCCAAAGGGAAACTGATTAGGGATTTCCGTTCAGTGATCATTTGTAAATTGCTACTCTACTGTGATGAGTGCGCTTAAGTAAGCACAGGAACTTTAAAAAAGAACCATAATAGTGATACGCATAAAAGTATCTTTTGAAAGGAAAGGAAACTTAAAAGAATGCGTTCTTGAATGAACTATAAACCAGATCATGTTTGCAAAGTTCTCGTTTTTTCACACCTTAATATTATTTTTGTCCGCCTTTAGTATTTTAGCATGTTTCTGCAATAATTTGTGGTACCTCTCTAGTGCTCCGTAGTCAATGCTTTTTTTGCGGAGCAAGGTGAGGGTAAATGTCGAATAGGGAAAGAAAACAAGTCAAACTATATCATACATGGTAAAATTCAAAGAAGTGCATTTCAAAATGATTTATTTCATCGTTGCGACTAAGAGGCAGTCTTTTTTTATAAATCATTACATGATATTATGAAGTTTTGCGAAAATAAATACTACCTTCAATAAATGCCTCAAAATCAAAATAGAGAAGCCAAATGGGAAAGTCTACTTCAAACTAACAGTTAAATGTGTAAAAAGGTTAAAATGATCCAAAGTAAAGCAAGTAGCACCGCATTTTTAAAGGCGATAAATGTAATAACCTAAATTTCACCAAATAATTAGTTTGGTACACTAAGAAAATTGGTCTTTGATGACAAAGGGGTCCTTTCACTTTACTGCAACACGTTGTTTGTTTGTTTAACTCTTGATTTTATCAAAGGTGCTCCGGCATTACACTTTTATCGGGTGAGCTGGCCCCTGGGGTATGTCAGTATCCCTTAAGCTCTGCCCTGCGTCGGTAATGCATATTCTACTCGAATATTGCATCTTCTTTTGTTGTCAGGGCAGTCTCGTGCCACTAAGTTAGTGGCAGCGGAAAGTGAACCCGATCTTAAAGAATAAGCAGCCTAGCTTTTTCTATGAGTGATGGAACTTATCAAAAGGGAAAAGTTGCATGTGCTGAATGTGAGAGAATCTGTGGCAATCTCCAACAGAAGGACTAAAACTGTCCTGTACCTCCGACAACTAACCAGGTCCTGTATTCTGCAGGAAAACTATGAACATCTGAAGCTGTATTAGTCGAGAGTCATCTGTTAAAGCTCCTTACGGAGCTGCCTACTGTACCTGTGTGCAGATATCAATTATGTAATCATGCGGTAACTCCTCCACTTCTATACAGCTGGGTAGAACCCAAATAACCTGATATAGCTAGGCAGCTCTAAGATGAGAATAAAGTACTAAGAAGGAGGAGACGCGCAACCCTATCCCCATAGGGTTGCGCCAGTGTTTTGTGGCGGTGATTATAGACAAACTAATGGCTAGCTCATTCCCTCTTTCCCAAGTACATTTCTCATACAGGACAAAACTCAAAACCCAGTAAAAGTGCCAAGAGGAATAAGTGACGTTGCGGTCAAGTTTTTTCCAATTGAATGGAAATTCGATGGTTGGTGCGGTTGGTTCGCAAATGTTTTCCTCTACTGCACCTACTATATTACAATGGCTAGCGAGAGATGCTGACGGGGAAGAACCAGACTGGGCCCTCAAAGGACGAGAGGGACTACGTAATACGTAGGTTGTTTAGCTCTTGGTTTTGGTAATGGGTCACTCTGGATCCCCACCACTGTACCTTCGTCGGGCGGGCTGGCCTCCGGACCATGCCAGTAGCCCCAGCCTTACTGCATTTCCACACTACATACATTACGTCTACTTTCGTCTACTTACTGTATCATTATATATGCGAAAAAGATGTGTTGGTATTCATTTACCTTGTTTTACAAAAACAACCATTGCTGTTTTCTTAACACACATTACCTAGGTGGATCTGAAGTACCTCCACTTATCTCCGAGCTGTTTGAAACTGACGAATTGGCAAACATCAAAGTGGAGGTGGAGCGATTCTGTAGAGTGGGAAATCTTGACTTATTCAAAAAGTTGTCTGCTTCCTTTTCAGTAGTGCGCTCTCAAGAGATCTGTGTCAGATAACAATTTTTATGTATAAAAGGCGCTTCAAGTTGCTTTTCGTGTAAAGCATTTAAATGGGGATTTAAAACAGCTCGATGATGTAGCATGGACTTAGATGAGTTCCAGTTTTTTCTCCCAAAGCATCATATTTACATAAATCAACTTAATTATAAATGAAAAATATAAGTTTATTTTAACTGTTATAAAGCTTTCGAGTTAGGTGATTTATTGGATTACTAAGTTATATTAGCACATTATCAAACTAATACCGACAAACCTGATGTGCAAAAAATTAAACATCTGACAAGAAGTTGCCTAACATGGAAGTCAAAATTGTAAATCAATCAAACACGTTGTTCCACTTTGAGAGTTCAAAACCTTTGGGTTGTGACTGGCTTTAAATTTAAAACCTCCTCGAGGTGTGAACTATCGGCGACAAAAGTTGAATCACTGATATATTTTTGGTACTTTTATTGCTTGTTTTATCGCTTCTACTGGGCACTATGGCCTCTGAGGCATTCCAGTAGCCAACAGTGTCTTCTTTTATCTTCAGGGACGTTTTGGTTCACTACACTGGTGCCAAACCTTATCTGGGCGGAAGAAATGCATGTACCGTGGTTGGGAGAACCTGTGACGATACCTAACAGAAGGACTGAAAATGACGCGTACTTTCGGCAGCTACCCCATTTTCATAGTCTTCAGGAAAGCTATTAACAGCTAAAGCAATACTAGCCGTGCACCATCAGATAAAGTTTGCAAAGGAGCTGCCTACGTAGTCTCTATGACAATGTCAACTAAGAGAGCAGGCGATACCTTCTTCATCTCTCTACTAGCTGGATAGAACCCAAAAAGAAATGGCTGGGTAGCTCTGAAATGAGAATGAAGTGGTAAGGAGGAAAAGACGCGAATGCCTACACCCACGGAGCTATGTTAAAAGCCGTCCTTTGTTACATGGTTCTGCTTTTGGGTCAGTGTTCTTACTACTAGCCATGGACACGTGTTTCGGTCGACACAACCTCCCTTCCCTCAATGCGATTTCCAAAAAGAACAGAAATGCAGATCCAGTAGAATTGCCAAGAGCAATCAGTGACATTGCGGTCACTTATCTCCTTGGGTGCATAGGAATGCGATGACTGATGCGGTTGATTCGTTGGTGTTTTTCCTTACAACATCGACTTTGATGTAATGGCTGACGGCGAAAGTTGACTAAGGGGAGCGCTGGAGACGATGCTCAACAGAGAAGAGGGGCTACGTAATCAGTTAGTTTGTTTAACTCTCGGTTTTCATAAAGGATCACTTAGGCGATTCGGCATTGTGCCCTTGCCGAGTGGGCTGCCCTCTGGACCATATCAGCAGCCCCGAGTCCCACTGAATGATAAACATATATATATTCTGCCCAAGTTATATGTTTTCTTTTATCTTCAGCGAATCCTCGGGGCGGTGCGTGCATGCGAGTAGACGCAAATCCTCATGGTGCTGGAGTTCTGCTCAATTTTGACAAAAAAAAAACAATAAAACCTCTGCAAATGTACAAAATGCAGATTATCAACGGAGAAACGAAGTGGAATATTTCCAAATCTTTCGAACTCATCACAGCGTGCACGAAATTCAGCTGCGACTATTTCACTCATTAACTCAAAAATCAGTAAAAATGAGAACCTTATTACCTGACGCAAATGTGACTTATAAAATAATTGGATTTCTCAAGGTAAAAATGAGGCCTTCGTTAATTCCAGCAAAAAGTTGGAAAGTGATAATTGTGACTTATTTGTGAGTATATAAGATCTATGCCCCTGATTCTTAACCACTTTAAGGACAGTTTTGATTTACAGAAATTTTCCTGACCTATTTAACAGTACTTCTGTTTGAGATAAATAATTGCATATTTAAACATTTTTTAGGGACAGCTTTTTGAGAACAGACATATTCAGTGTCATCCCGAGCAATTTTATATCAACATTTGACCGAAGACCAAGTTTATTTGCCTTTCGCGGGTGATGCTCACTTTGTTTCCTAAAAAAGGCCGTGATTTTCGTACAAAAATTCACTCCTTGAAATCTCCTTTGAGATTAATTTGAAATATTTTCTTTGAGCAATTTGCGCCCCGAATCCGAAAATGCTTATTCCACTTGGATTATTAGCTGAAATTCTTCACAAAGCAAAAAAAACAGTTACAAGATCTGAGCATCTAAATATGCTTACTTTTGCAGTAAAGATTGACCTGTTTAATGTAGATTATAGGTAAAAATGTTGACACCTGGCACTTCGTCCGTTGGACTAAGTCAAAAACACCTTAGTCTCCTGTCGATTCAATTGCTGCTCTCGGATATTTAAAGACCAGACACTCAAATTTAAAGTTGTCCATGGCCCATGCCTTCGCTTCGCTTTAGCCACCCAAGATTGCAGTCACACAGTCGTGCAACACATTTTTATTGCCACTTCAAGTTTTTGGGTTTAAAATGCCAAACAATTATGGAAAGTGATTGCTATTCGCGTTAGTTCGGAAAATAAGGGGCGGAGTGAGGGTGGGTTTCACCAAAAAGTATTATCTCCTTTCAATAGTATGTCGAAGAGCTTGAGTCCTTCCTAAAGGCGAAAGGAGGAATAATGCTAGGGTAGAATATATGTTACTGGCGTATTGAAGGACACGGAGGCTGCTGGCATGGCCCAGAGGCCAAGTCGCCCGGGAAAGTACAATCGCGGAGTCTTAAGTAGCTACAATGACAAAACGAAATGTTACAATATGTATTTAAC